GGTATATTATGCTTTTATTGTTTAAGCACTTAACCTTAAAAAGTCATTGAAAGGGTATAATACTGGATGGCAGGTGTAATTATATTCATTTGAATAATGGTTGTGTATCATTCGTATCTCAAGCAGTACAACCCTGAGGAAACCCCCACCTGCTCTCGGGCTTCTAATGCAAGCTAACCGCTTCCTGATCCGTTATGATAGCTAACGAAGCCATCATCCTCAGGAACGCGACGCCAAGATGATTATGTAGTCCCTCTCGTTCGTTTCCGCGTCCTTACAACAAACCGGTTTCTAAAACACCCGCCCCACTCCTTTGTATGTTATTACTACGCATCCGTGTATTGTTGTGCGTTTAGTAAGGGGTACCGCTGTAAGTCAAGGTCAGGGGAATCGAAGATTTCAACACCATGCCGTGTCGTAAAAACTGTCTATACCCAAATTAATAGTTCTAACTAACGCTCGAATGCCGCTTTGAAAATACTATTACCCTACATAATTATAAAGATAAAGACAGCATACGTCCTAAATTTATCGATTTCTGTGGGTAATGCACGGCATGCATTAATAAAACAAACGAGCAATGCAATGGTGCGGAAATAAACGATTTACAATAATGAATAAATTAAACGTATGAATTTTTACTAAATGAAACAATCATTGTGACGATTAGACCTGCGATAGGAATAATAATTACGGTCGTTGACGCATGACCTGTAATACTTTTAAACATTTTATTATGTCGCAAAGAATAAAACAAAGCAAATGTAATGTTAATAGTAGGCCTAATCAATCCATGTGGTGTAATGTTTGATATAATTATCTTTACAATCCACTAAAAGAGATAATTATATGCAAACAATCTCATCCCGATTATCATGAAAAATTCGTGTCACAATCAATTACTAATACATAGATTACTTATTCATTAATATAAATTGTAGAGAACTCCTTAGAATATACTCACTTTCTATGTTATGTCCTGATATTATGTATGAAATAAAACCTTACGTTGAAGAGTCTTGCAAAAGGGCCTGAGCATTCTGGGTACAGTATAGTTGTTGTAATCCCCCCATACATGAAAGAAATTTACATGAACCAAAACTACCAGGGGCGGATCCAGGATTTTCCAAAAGGGGCGGGATGGGGGGAGGGGGCGTGAAGCGAACGAAATTGCGAGCGCGAAGCCTCTACGGCTTAAGATGCGCTAATATGGTACATTCTGAGGCATTTTTGAATAGGTAAACTGAACATTCACGTGAATATTTTGGGGGTGGGGGGGGCGTGCGCCCCCCTCGATCCGCCCCTGGCTACGTAGTCAAAAATACGATTAGAATACAATGAAAACTGCAGCCTTTCCGGAACAAATTTTGTTTGGTGTTGTTTCATGTAACCCAATCTTTTGCTCGTTTGCTGTTTTATTATTATTTTACTTCTTGTTTTGCCACTCTAGAAAGTAATTATGGCATTGATTCAATCCTAAAAGTCTCCTGTTAATTCGAAATTCTCCAGCCTAGTCGTGGAAATATTTTTTCGGATCAACAATCATTCATGTATTATGAATTTTATGGGGGATCATTAAATTGAAGAAGTTTGAGAAACAATGAGAAGGAACACGAGGGAGAGAGAGAGAGGGGAGGCAGGGAGGGGAAGAGAGAGAGAGATGGGGAGAGAGAGAGAGGGGGAGAGAGAGAGAGAGAGAGAGAGAGATAGAGAGAGAGAGAGGAGGAGGAAGAGAGTGGGGGAGGTGAAAGATGTAAAATTCAATTGGGAGAGAAGGATCTTGAGAAAAAGAAAACAGTAAGAGGGGAGGGATCGAGCGGGAGAGAGAAAGAGAAAGATAGAGTAACATCATTATTGTAGTTCTGCTGAAGACAAGACTAATGTTTTTAATTTCTACCTATTGATTAAAAGAAAATAGATGTCCTTTGACCTGAGGTTTCCAGCCCAATTGTATATATTTCTGGATAAGCCACTGGGGAATTAGGGAATGTTTTATTTCTAAATTCATTTTGCTGGTCACCTACTTTGTTCCTCCTATTGTCTTACTGAAGTGAAATGGCTCCAAAGTGTTAGTAATATTTTTTTTTTTTTAGGTCAAGTTTGTCATTAAAACATGTTAAAACTTAACTATAATTTGGAGCCGATATAAAAACACTTTGTATGTTACACGACAAAAGCTTAATTGCTAAATGTATCCATTATGCAGGTTTACTCATTTTATTTTTGTATCAGCTACAGCGATCCAGCAATCTTTTCCTGCTTTACTTTAAAATAGCGCCAAAGGAGAAAGGTGAATTTCAAAATTCATAGAGGATAAAGTATGTGTACGTGCAAAAAGTGAAATAAGGATTTTTGTAATATAAAAGTCCATTAGAATAATTGAGTTGTCGGCTGAAAAGATAGTAAAAATCGTGAGATATTGGCAGCGAATCTTGTCTCATCCTTTGTCATCCGCCTACGGAAAAGGACAATTGAAGGTGGATTGAGAGAAAAAAAGTAATGGAATGAATTGCGTGTGGAAGTGATAAAAGGAATTGAAGAATGCAGTGAGATGGCGTCATTAGGGTGGCGCCGTGAAGCGAAGAGCGAGATGCTAGCACGCCGGAGGTTTGGGCGTAGAAGTCACGTCAGCCTCGTTAGCTGCCAGCGTGCCATACTCATCGCCAAATTGGTATGATAAAAAAAACCCATATGATTCACACGATCATACCCGGTGGAGATGAATCCTCTTTAAAAGGGCAATGATAACAAGAAAGAGAGATGGAATGAAGAACATTAAAACCGAAAAATAGATTGATTCAAGGGCGTATATTTTTTGTCCGGGGTTAGTTGTTGTCTTTGGTATTTTTAATTGCTCTTGATAAGCCTTGTCCTGGGTAGTTGTAAACGAGAGTCAGAGGCAAGCTGTTATTTTCTCTCCTGATATGCTTGAACCATATAAGACCCTTTACTAGCATTTTTGGATTTTCGCTATTATATGATTAACAAGATAACTTCGCTATGTTATGGTAATAATATCTTTTAAAGCTTAACTACATAATTATAAATAATGTTCTTTCCTTCTCCTCCTCCCCTTCCCTTTTTCTCCACTCTCAGTCTCTCCCCCCGGCCTGAATTTGTTTTGGGAACTTCGTAAAGAGACTAAACGAGAGAGAGAGAGAGAGAGAGAGAGAGAGAGAGAGAGAGAGAGGGAGAGAGAGAGAGAGAGAGAGAGATAGTGAGGGGGAGGGGGACTGAGAGGGGTGAGAAAGGGGAAGGGGGAGGAGAAGTGAAGAACACTATTTATATGTAGTTAAGCTTTAAAAGAGATTCATCCCGATTTATCAACCATTTCATGATTGTGAAGTACCATACCGAGGTATACAAGGATTTGGAAATCATTTCTCCCATCTCTGATAAAATTATTTCCCCTTTATCCCCCCCCCAGTAAATTAACGAAATGATATAGAAAGAATAGGTATACATTAAAAACGGATCTTTTTCATCATCCCAGGGAGGGAGAGAGAGAGAAAAAAAATCTGCTTTTCACTTCCTGAAGATTGTCGGAGCGGTATATATCGCTTGCTCTCAATTACGCTGATTTCAATCCACCTTGCTCATCAATCTCCTACCACAAAAACCAGACCTTTTCTCTCATTTTTAGTGGATCCCTTAAAAACAAGGGACCATTTTTGGACGTGACTTTTGCTGAACGGGCAGCTGTTTCTGATGGTTTTTGCGAGCCATCGATGCTTCTCCTTTTCACAAATTGAAAGGAAATTAATGCACGAAAATTTCATGACTTACTTTGGTCGCGTAGCTTCTAAAGAGAGTGTTCAATGTAAGTTCTTTATACCCGATTGTCATAGCCCTAGGCATTCCGACATTTAAAATCAAGCCTGTACTTCAATACCTGAGCGGAGTTCAGGAAAAACCTTAGATTTTTATATTCAAACTGATAGGATAAATTCATGAATTTGCGTCATACGCTGACGTTTGAGTGATCCAAATAGCTTTGGAAGGCTTTATCCTACGATGAAAACTACCTTGGGCGGGGTTCGTTTGTCATACTATTAACCTCCCTGCTATGAATATTCCTCTTTCAAAACGGGATTATTGGTATAAATATCTTTTATTAGGACTCCATCTCTCTTTTAATGTAATATTTATGCATTATCAACATCGCATCGGGTAATCAATGGTTCCAAAACTTTAGTAGCAGGAGATAAAGATTATGATAATACGGGTTTAACAAAAAATACAAGAATAAAATGGAATTACGAAAGGAAGAAAATAATGGTGGGTGTTTCGATCTAATCCTTAATGAAATACTCATATAGGTTGTTTGTAAGTTCAAACAAGAAAAATGGATGTCTTCCTCTAGGAAGTTCTATGCCTGCATAAATATGTTTAATACCAGCCTCATAAATCAGTTCAAGAAGAATCCACAATGAGGTCGAAATGGAAAGGAGAAGTGGGGGAGAACGACATTAATACATGATTAATTCGTGGAAAACCTTAGCATTGTCATGTACTTGGATTTTCTAGAATATTCTAAAGGAAACAAAAGAAAATTCCATCAAAAGTTTTTGAGATTTCATCACAGCCAAGTAAAAGTTCAAAAATATTCTGAGAGAAATGGAAAAAGTCTTTCAAAAGTGATTATAGATATCTTGAAGACCAAATAAAATTGTCAAGAATATTCTGAGGAAAACAAAGAAAATTCCAGAATCCAAGCAAAACGAACACAAAGGCATGAAATTTGTAGACAATCCTTGGATTTTCACATTTTTACATTTCTATTACAATACATTAAGAAATTATTTGTTGGTTGCCCTTTTGGTCTGAAGTTTTGCTGTTTAGTTGTTGTTGTTGCTATTATGACTGTTTTTGCTTTTAAAGCACATGAAGATGTATTTATGCATGACAATTTTTTTAAATCTTTATCTTGCAAAAAGAGAGAATGAAAAGTATCTCCTATATACGATTTGTAAACATAAAAGAGACTGGAAACAATCTGATCGAATTTCAGAATCTGTACCAAAATGTATTTCAGCATTCCTTGCATCTTTTAACACAATCTTTGTGCATACTTTTAAACAAGAGAAAGACAATGAACTTTAGGAAGGACCTGAGATAAGATATTAATGATCACTAAATAAAAAAAAACATATAAAGTAGAAACACAGTGATGATGTACACAATTTGTATCATGTGTTAAACTACACAATACCGATTCGCGGACCAACGAGCAAACTTGAACAAAAAGACGGCGTCCTCCAGACCGCCTAAAGATGCCAGAAGGAACTGGCCAAAAGTTTCTGAGAACTAAGTTGAACAATAATTAAAGTAACCGAGTTGTAATTTAGTATTAATTTCTAGGATACTGGATGAATCTTCATGAAACTACCAGTACACAATACTTAATATCCAAACACTTTTTCAAAATAAGCACGGCAAGCTACAGATCTTGTATTGCAAACAATACAAAAGAAGCTTTTGTCTGATCTGTTTTGAGGGTAGGAATGAGGATAGTACAACAAACATGTAATCAATCTTTATTTAATATGTACCCATTGTATCAAACTATGAACCTAAGTGTTACTCTACTGCTTTGATACAGGTCCTGCACATATAAATAAAACCAACAAGTATTACAAACGTTTAAAAAAACAGGAAACCAATAAGTCGTTGATAAATTATACAAGGACACCTCCCTATCTTAACACGCACCAGTAAAACTACTAATAATGATAAAATGATTGTATTTTACCTCAGCCTAAAGAAATCCTAATGTTGATTTCATCTTGCTATATTCATATAATAATATGAGCTTCTTGGAGAGTGCTCATATTAACCATTTGTGTCCAAGGCACTCTAGCATCCAAAACTTCATGGAGATAATGACATCCAATTAACAGTGCCATCAATACTATATTTGGAACATATGGAGATAAAGAAGAAACAGATTGCCTCAGTCTGTAATCAAATTATTTCAATACATTTTGATAAATTGACATACTGTTATACTATAGAGGGTTCATCCAAATGATATGATTTTTTATTTTATTTCAATTTTTAAACATGATTGAAGTTAAAAAGACATATTCTATAGATATTCATTTAATATCTGCTAATTATGTGCGTTCACATATGGTTGCTAGTTTCAAGTCGTGGCCCATAAACGCCACCACAGATACAATGGTAAACTTCTTGTAAGTTTGAGTGGTTGTTTTTTTTACGTCAGGTGTGGTGAATTATGATCACTTTAAATATTTAGAACATTTGAGCATAACATCAGCAAATCTAGAAATGAGAGGTAATATCAAATTAAGTTTTCTCATACACATGTAGTGTACTTAAACCCATTACAAGAGGAGCTTTTGGTAGCTGCAATACAAAATATGCAAAGATGATATACTCAGCCTAGTAACAAAAAATATGTGGCAGTTGAAGAACAAAATAACTTTAAGCACCTAAGAAAGTGGGTGTGGTTAAGCTTATTACTATGGTGATAACAGCAGTGATGGTGATGATGATAAGGTGGAAGAGAAGAATGAGAAGGAGAAGAAATGAATGAGAAAGAATGACGGGTTGAGGAGGATGGATGGAGGATAGATAGATGGATGAGAGACACAGAGAGAAAGAAGACTCTAAAGAGGAGAAAGAGCAGGAGGTACGTGTAGATAATAGTTGAAACGATGAAGCACAAAGATAACAATGATTGTGAAGTGTTTCAGTAATGATAAGATTGGGATATCAAAGACAAGCCTGAAGACCAACGGATGATTATGACAGCAGTAAAGGATTTTTTACATATGCCAGTTTACTGCAGTGTTTTTTTTACAAGCATACTGCATACTACAGCTTACATTTTCGCGTCTTACAACAAACCAATCACCGAATATGTCAAGGTCCTTTGTTGCACGTAGCTACTTTTTATCACCCCACTTTTCATTCATATAGTACATTAAAGGTAATACAAAGTTTTGGGAAATTTTGAAAATTGGCTGGAGAGCGATTCTTTACAATTCTGATATATTTGGATGCCCCTGTGGATGGGCAATAAGCAATTAAAAAATTAGCCACTCAAACACTTCTGCTTTCGAGAAAAATTGAATATAAAAATTTACCGGTGCTCCCGGTAAATTTGGATAAATTTCAAATAGCGCCTACGGCCATACAATGGTAGCTGCAACCCTGAACATCTCAGAATATGTAGTTGTGATATATAACTTCCAAACGGAAATAGCGAATTGGTCGATTTTAGTCAAGAAACATTGTTTTATAGTTAAATTAATATATTGACCTTGAGAGGGAGCTATACAACATAAAAGTTTGTTATTTACAATTTCATCACTTTAGACTCGATTTCAACCGAGACAATGATCACTGAATATCGTAGGATCGCATATGCTTCCAATAAAAACATTTGAACCAAATTCATGACCCCATACCAAAACTTTGTATGACCTTTAACAACAACAAATATTCAAAAATGCTGAGATAAACTAGCACAATTTACCATGATATATGTGAACAGCCTTCAGGAGTGTAAAACCCCATTCACACATGATGTGATGAATAGAGAAAAAAAAACCTGTCACAACATAAAATCATTTTACAAATAAATGAATGGCAGGTAGAAGTAAAAAAGAAGTTGCATGCAATAAAGGTCCTAGAGTGTACCCAAATATCTGTGTGCTGTTGGAAGAAACAGAAATATAAACAATATCATGCTTGTGCAAATAAATTTTGCTGAAGCACATTTTTATCTTTTAAGGCAGTTTGTCATGTGTGTGCATGGGGTTTAAGATATACCAGAAGGATGGAATCATGAAAGAAGAACCCCAAGCTTTTTGCATAAAAAATCAGTAGTCTACACAGAACATTAAGACAAAGTGATTAACATCTACAACAAATATACCTGTATTTGCATTAACACAACAAAAACCGGGAAATTTCAGAAATTATGCCTGAGTATAGGAAATGTTATGTGATTTACTCAACAGATTGAGATCTCACATTGCCACTATGAGCTAGCACCTGAAGTTGATGGGCCCACATTGTTCCCAGCATCTGAGTGCCTACCACTCTTTTGCCGAATCCTTCTCTCGGCGGCTTTCAACAGCTTGACAGAGTCCACAAACTCTTCAGTCAACGTATAATCCAGATCATTTAATGTATTATCATGAGTATTGTCCAGTTTCCTCTTTTCAGGGGATTTCCCTCTGGATGCCAGAGCATCTCGTTGGTCAGCACTACTAGAGTTCTCAGCAGGGGAAGTAGAAGACATAGGCGCAGAACGGTGAACCTTGAGATGATCTCCAGTTGACTCCCGAGTCTGGGTATCAAACTCCAGCTGTCTCCTTGGACTCTTCTTGGATGAACCCCAATGGGAACAGGTGCCTCTCTCTGCAGCATTGTCAAGACTTTCCCCTCCAGCTCTGTCAAACTTGGTACCTGAACTCAGACTAAGAGTACTGAATCCCCTGCTAGGAGTAGTAGAAGAAACATAACTTGTGCTTGGTTTACTCTGATCATCAGACAGAGAACCGATTCCGGATCCTCTTGCGTTGGCACTCTCGGATGACTTCTGAAACTTTGAGTACAGTCCTTGATCAGGGGAATAGGAAATGTCCCTATAGACATGACTTGTAGGAGAATACAGCGTAGAAACTCCCCCAGTGGAGTAAAATTTCTTAGCAGCCGGTTCATCACCGTCCATTTTATAAGGACTCACTGCCAAACAGTCATCTCCTGCACCAGGACTATCTGGAACACTGGTGATGTCCGACTCGCCAAACTTGACAGAATCTCTAGACCCTTCATCGTTTAAGCTATCTAGTTCGAGTGTGAGAGAGAGATTAGTCCTGGGTTCCAGAGCACCATGAGCTTGTTCATATCTCTCCAACTTGCATTCTAGCTCTTCCACATAGACATCGCTACGTTCCAACGCTCGTTTCAGCTGCTTCCCCTCCTGCTCACTCTTGTCCAGTTTAGCCTGTTGAGCAGCCTGGGTGTACTTCTCGTATCTGAAAAATCAGGAAACAGAGATGTAAGTTTGGGGTTATCCTGGGGGTCGTTTCACAAAACTTGTCATCAGTGACAAATGACAGTTTTTGTTATAAGCTAATCCTCGCCTCTGATTGGTTGTCAACAGATTTGTCACTGATTTCCATCATTTGTCATTGAAAAAAGGCTTGTGAAACGGGTCCCTGGTTATCAATTGCTTCATACACCATAGAACTACTATACCTTTATGTTAGAAACTAGATAATGTTTAGGAAGTGGGTCACATGACAATTTATTTTGTACAAAGGCAAACCAAATGTTGATCAGGATTATGAATTTGTCCTGATGTATAATCATAATGATGGATGAATTTTGCAATGCAATTGTCTCACACTATGACAAGCCGAGTATAAAATAATCTTTACAGAATCATATGAAATAAAAGTATTTTCTTTGCCTAAAAAACTGAATTAACTTGTGAAAGTTGTTATTTGATTGTGAGATGCAATCTCTACATTGTAAGAGGATGCTAATACAGACATCCGGAAGGATGTTTACAAGTCAAAATGTTACATTCCAAGGTCTGTCCACTTAAACAATTATGGGATTAAAAAGTAACTGAAGCTTATCGGCTAGATCAATCCGCTCCTCTTATCATCTATAAATACATTACTTCTCCATTTATCACACACAAGAAACAGAAAGGAATACAAAGCTTCCCTAGATATAGAAGACATGAAACTGATCAATATATTACTCTTTTAAAGCCCCACTGCACTACTTATAGCAACTTGCGCCCTCTATATAGCAAACAATGCCTAATCGGTGCCTGTTGGTCCCCCATGACCCCCTTTTTCTTATGTTAATTGAGAGCTGATTTGATCAGATAACCACCTGTCAGTGACCTTGCAGGGAAGTCTAATCCCTCCTGGCCAAACTAGTACAGATGGGCTTTAAACACATGTAGTACTGCTAGGTATGCTAATTCACACTTCGAAAATAATAAATTTCATGAAAGTAAATGTCAACAATGATATATTTTAGAAAATTTATATCAACCCTAGTCGAGAATGCTGGTACTATCTGTTCACAACATTCAGTATAACATATGATCCTAAAGCTGATGCTATTTTATCCTACGGATGATCTGAGCTAGCCAGGCAAACCGCATCATTGTCGGCAAAACAATAGTTACATCACTAACAAGGAAAGCAGAGGGGTAAAGCATGTCTGGGGCAGAGCTACCGACAAAGGCCGATTATTGATCAGCCCAATTGTGGTCCAAACTTTCTTTTGTGGTGACCATTCAGCCTCTAGAATAGATGCTGATAGCCGAGAGTGTAAACAGTCATGAAATATTAAGCAGGGTGCTTGACTTGCACCCACAAATATCATGCATAATTTAGAGGGAAGGGGGAGTGTCTCAGCACCCCTATGCTGAGGACAAGGGAATTGTCTGTGACCCAACGGCGTGACAAATTCAATAAGTTTTACATGTTCAGTCATCATCAATGACTTGCATCTAACTTATAAACTAAAGAGCAGTCAACAAATTATCTGCTAAAGTTACCACAACTGTCAAGTTTTATATTTTATAAACTGGACTCTCAGTAAGCTTGTAGTTCCTGCATACTTCCAAATGGACACCTTGGCCTGTACTTGTAGGCCAAAACTTGTTATCAATTTTTTGTTGTTGATTTGATTGATTGATTTATTTCTTCATTTCATATAACAATTGTTTGCACAATAAAGAATATAGTTGACAAAGTAAGATCAAAATTATGAAATGAAACAGGAACCTACTGGAAAGCACTAACAAATAGCTTTCAAAAACAGAAATGGAAAGGACTCCATTTCTGCATTAGTTGTTGTTGTTACTTTTATTCTCAGAATAGATAACGACTTCTTCAGTGTTAAGTTGTCAACAAATGTTTATCTTATTAAAAAAATGCTTCGTAGCGTCTAGGAAAGTTTTTGTAAAGCTGTTTTTAATCTTATTAATCAAGGAGAAAAAATACAAATTTTCAGAATGCAGAATTCAAGGCAATCATGAGCATGCTAAATCATTGGAAAAATGCTTCTTCAGATATAATACAAATGGCATTAAACATTCAATGAACTAGCCATGAACATGGTATGGAAAGGTCATACCGGCATTGAATTTTTGTTTTGTGATATAGAATTCCAATGAAGCATGTCATGAAACATAAAAAGAAAAACAAATTTCTTCTCAATTGCACTCAATTAGAAAATTGATATCAGGGTTGAGAGGGGTGATTTTACCTTGAGATCAAAGAGTATTGTAATTCATGCCTGAAAGTTGACTTCATTAGGAGGTAAAAAGAGACAATAACACATTTGCTAATTACTAGTATGTCACACTATAAGATCGGCAGACGCACCAATAAATGGTTGGATGATAAATTAATGAGATGAGGATATGTACTTTTCAGTATGTGCGTTTTTGGACTGAACATGCAAGCATTAAAGCCCCACTGTACTACTTGTAGCTACTTGCTCCCTCTATATAGAAAACAATGCCTAATCGGTGCCTGTTGGTCCCCTATGATCCTCTATTTCTTATGTTAGTTGAGAGCTGAGTTGATGAGATAACCACCTGTCAGTGACCTAGCTGGGAGGTCTAATACCTCCTGTCCACACTAGTACAGACAGCCTTAAAAAGGTATCAATTTTGAATTCAACTATCAGTTGATCCCACTTTCTATCATTTTTCTTTCTATTATGTTCTTTTGTACCAGCATTACACACTTGGTCAAATTAGGCTCAAACATATAAGAAATCAAGCATTTGAATGTGTTTCTTAACAGTTAGTGTATTTCACTGAGCACATTGTATTTCAACATCTTTATGAGGGCCCGTCCTATGATCCTACCTACACACCTGCAGACTGCAGCCATACAAGTTTAAGGAGATAAACATGTAAACTACAACTTGGATTAACAATCATTGAAACTGTTATTTTTGTTTATTTGTATGCCTTCTTTTATGACCACCAATGCCGCAGCAGGATAGAGTAAAACCTGTTCATAAAGACTGCTCATAAAAGGTGGGGGAAAAAGGGTAGTCTTTATAGGCAAGTGATCTTTAGGTGCAGGTTCCTTTAGTACATGTTTCAATGAGAAACAATATTCAAAGGAAACATAACATGTGGTCTTTATAGACAGGAATATGCTGAGGAAGGTTTCATCATATTTGATGGGGTTTATGATGATTTTGGAAAGGTCTCACAACCTTTCAATTAGTTTCTTTTCATTCATGTGTTAATGTGTTTGGGATGGTCATAGAGACGTAATTGACAGTTTCAAGCTGATTAATTTGATGATGATGATTTTGGAAAGGTCTCACAACCTTTCAATTATTAATAGGTTTCTTTTCATTCATGTGTTAATGTGTTTGGGATGGTCATAGAGACGTAATTGACAGTTTCAAGCTGATTAATTTGATATATATATATATATATATATATATATATATAGGTAATTAGGTAGCTTGCTATAAAGATGATAACAAGGTTTATGGTTTTGAAGAGTCCCAGGGGTACATGGCTACAGCTCCTGGTTAATGGTAATTTCATGTCAGGGTTGCAATAATTTCATACATATTTGAAAAACAAGAGATTGATGGATTACTCAATTTATACAATAGTTTTGAACATGCAAATTACTGTACCCATAAAAAATATAGTAACATTCACAATTTCTGGTTCCATAACTACTTTAAAGACATTTGATATGCAGAAAATGATTGGAGCACTTTTGTTTTTCTCCCTTACTCAAGTTCACTTGAATCTCTATTAGATTTCAAAGAAGCAGAGTAAAATAGGCTCAATAAACGATGAATGATAATTCTTTCTAAGAATAGACCTACCATAACTGAAATGTGTGAATTAGTTCATTTCTGCTACATACTGGAAATAAGTAATTTTGGTGTGAATACTGTAAATGTAAGCATCAATTAGATTTGTGCTTCAAAACAAATACACATGTACCATACATGTATATTGAATCAAAGCATTTGTAGATGCATAAATAACACTTACAATACAATCAAGGTCAACTAGGATACATGTACATGTATTACTATATGAAGAATTTGTACTTTTTTGCAAATGCTTTAAAAAAATGAGACTACATCCACCTTTACAAATATCTTTTTCGGTCATTGCCACTGCTATTGTTCAGAATAAAAAGAGAGGAAAAATAGATATCCCAATCCCTCCCCCCCCCCAAAAAAAAACAAAAACTATCAAATATACAAACAATAAAAAAGATTCATCTCCTACTGCAAAGAGAATTGTAGATCAACCAATGATTTCCTTCATATTTCTTGTACATAAGAGTTGTAATTAAATCATTCAATTTTGTAAAAGGGCTACCTAGAGAGGGCAGCATTCAAGAAATCAATTAATAATTTTCTCACTGTAAGGTGAGATCTATAGAATTCCCTTTCTTCCCTTTCCATCCCTGCACACACACTGGGTAGCATCTTCTCTTTGGCTATTCTAATTCTTCTCCTCTTTCGATGATAGATATTATCTTCATATATATATATATATATATGTATGAAGATTCAAGAAATCATTACTTCATCATCATAACAGAAACACTGAGAAATTAAATCTGTTAAGCTCAAAAAAATTAAACAGATGATTCTACACTGCCAATTAAAGCTTCAACTAATTTGCACAGAAGAAAAAAAAAGAAGGAACTTGGGCATCAAAGGCAAATATAAAAAAATAAAAAAATAAAAAAACAATTATAGGTTATTGACAATGATGTTTTTCTTCTTCTAGTATAGCTCTAGTATCTACCTCTGCTGGGTGCTCATTGTGCTTGCTCTACAAAGTCTCACAAATTCAATGTTCTTGGTCAGTGTGCCAAATTGAGATTATTTTCAATTAGTCCTTGTTGCATTAATATTCAAGAGATGATGTTTAAAATTAAATAACCAGAATAATTTTTTGAAGAAGAGTTGAGAGACATGCAAAGAAAAATGACAGCATTGAACAGATACAGATGGAAGTCTCATATAACACTAAGGTTTATTCTGGAACGAAAGGATCTACAGCTTAATTGCATTTATCACGATAAAGAAAAAAATGACTTACTTTCTTGGTGATCTACCTGTGAGTGTTTGTTTGAGTCTTCCAATCTCTCTAAGGTATCCTGCACTAGTGTCTCTCAACTGAGTGTTATCCTGAAATACAAGAAATAAATCCATATTTGTAATGCCAATTTTTTTTTTGTGGTCAACAATAACAAAAATTATGATCTAAGATATTCAATGACAACACAAAATTATCCATTCATGTGATTCTGAAAGTACATTCAAGCATACTCTGAATAACAACATTTTATAAACTAATAAAAGTTATATGAATAAAGATGAAAATCCACTAGCTTATAATCCTGATCAGCTTGAAAACCCATATGCTGGATAGGCTCAAAGTCAGTATAATGATAATCATTCAACATATCAATAGAATGGTAATGGTACATAGAACAACAGAGAAGCATAAAAACAGCTCAAGACATTTGGTTCTTTGATGTTCAATAACATTTTCAGCTCAGCATAAATACCTAATGAGCTTGGGGTAATGGGATGACAATGTTTATAAATAAATGTTTCAATACATTACCGTATTTTCTTGTAAGTATGAATAGCAAATGAGCCTTGAGCATTTTCAATAGTATATTGGTTTATATAAATACTCTTATTACACATTACTGTATTTTCTTAACCCGTCCTCTTAATTTATTTACAATAGCTTTGGTATGCCCCAATAACACCAGTTTGAGTCAATGAGCACATCAGGATAAGACAGGTTCCTTATTATTAATGCAGAGCCAAATGCGGTAGTGGTTTGACACATTTCTGGTGCGTATCACGCGCTGCATCACCTCCGTCTCACACCCTAACAAACCCACGTAGTATCCCCCAACCAACCTCTAAACAATGTCATTGACTTCTTCCACATCATAGGAATGAAGGAAGGAACTCATTCTGACAGGTTTCTCTTCTTCAGGGCTTCTTCTGTATCCTATGACAGGCCCTTTCTCCTTCTCCCCCTATTTCTTTCAAGAAAAGTATAAGTCCTTACTTCTAGTTTCTGTTCTTTTTATGTATACTCGTAGACTGCTTCTTACCCTTTTACCAAACAATTTCTCCTCATTGTCTTAATCTCATTTTCATGGAACTTCATTCTTATATCCTTTTTGTTGTTGTTGCCGATTTATGTTCTTCTTTTCTGCATTTCTCTTACGTCAATTTATAATGTTCAAAAGTATCAATCTACAATTCATATGTTACTCTATAATTTTTGTCTTTTACAAATATATTTTTTAATTGATATTCAGATTAGGTTTCATTCTTAGTAATGGTGATAATGGTACAATTTGTTCATTTGGTATCATTTCTGACTTCTCATAAAGCTTTCAATAACTCCAAGTTCATGTATTAAATATATATATATATATATATATATGATTGCTCGAAGAATGCACGATTTGGGACTTCAGATTTCATGATCTCTATGTAGCCTCATAACTACAGGTATATAAAATTAACAAAGTGTCATACTAGTCAAAAACATATCACAGGGATTTTCCTTTTCACATTTTTAGAAAACTGAGAATTTTTAAATTAAAAAAATTAAATTAGCCATGACTGTGAAAGAGGCACGAAATACGATAGCTCCAGAAAAGGTAATTTAAAACAAAATTAAATACTCAGGAAAAAAAAAGAATTCTTACTTGTCTCACTCTTTCCATCTCAGCCTTCAGCTTCTGATAAGCATTGGCGGTCTTCTTCAATTTCTGTGTCAGCAACATAAAATTATCCACTGAGAAGTTCTTCTGATCTGAATGACTTGAGCTCCCCTCCATTGTAGTGGTATCATCCTGATAACTTTTCAGACTATTAGACCCACTTGTTGAAATTAGTTGATGGGTGGACTGAACTACTGATGTTGAGGGGTGTGTTCCCTCCTTGCATTTCAGTTTTTCAAGTTGGGAATTCTTGGCCCTGAGCCTTGCTACTTCAGTTTGGAGAGTTTCAATTTCAGCCTGGATTGATGGAGTGAAAATAGAAGTGATTAAAGAATAGTCGTACATGACAATTAAGAACCCTAAAACTATTTGATAATAAATTAAATACCATAAACCAGATCTTTCAATTAATTATCTAATGATATCATCCTAGTTCACAATACCAAGAAATAAGAATTCAGTATTTGTATTGAATGATAACAGCTACATTTGTCTGAAAAGGAATTAAGATACTTTCATCAAAATCCTTACATTTGTCCTTTTGTGATAGCAAGTTTCATTTGACATTGCCGGTATCTGTTATTCCAGAAAAATGAATAAAGCACAAACTATGTAGGTGATATGACATTTCTGCTATGCAAACAGTCTTGGAGTATCCGGCGATAAATAATTTATCACACAAAATTGCATGTTGTCTAGCTAAAAGTATATTCAGTAATTCAAAAAGTGAAAAAGACTGCATAAATCAAATTTTATTTCAATGTGTTTAGAGTGATTAGATGTTGACTCTGAAACATAGAACTGAAGAAAAAAAAAAGAATTACATGCATACCATAATATACAAACAAAAATGCATTGGTTAGGTAAGTTGCAATTCACAACATTCAAACCTACTGAAAATATAAGATGAGAATGTGTATATCTATCATATTCAGAGACTTTACTGCAATAATTCATCTCAATATATACAGTTTCCACTACGGTATGTTGCACAGAGCACTGCAGTATCATCCATAAATCCACAAGCAATTAAAATGACATTATCCTGAAGTAATAACTTGTACCAGTAGATACAGTAAATATAAATTAAAGGTTGAACTCCTCGGCCAAAGTTGATCGAAAGGGCACTTCTTCACACGGCAGACAAACTGCTCTCTTCTACAATGTTTCATTACTGATAAAACATCTTGCAATACATCCCATAGATTCCAACAAGCAAGCCATTCCATCAGTATTTGATATACGTGTACCGGTACATCCAAGATTAAATCCATCTAAATTTGCTTCCAAGGTATATCCAAGTACACAAAAAAATATGAATTTACCTCATATTCTCTGTGCAGCATCTCAAACCTCATCTTGCGGAGCTCGGGTTTAGACCTTCTCTTTTCAGAGTCTTCACTGCAACTGGGGCCACCTGAGAAAAAATATAGAAACATCAGCCTCATCGATAGACAAGATCTCCCTCCTTTCCACATAAAGTAAACAAAGTAGGAATCAAGTATTTATTGACTGGCACCATCGAGTGAGAATAGCAAGTTAGAGAGAACCAAACAGAAAGAGAGATGAAGAGAGAGAGAGAGAGCAAAGAGAATGAATTTACAATTAGACTGGAAATTGGTACATCAATTATGGAGTCCAACGGAGCTTGTGTATTAATGTTGTACTGGTATATTAATGAAGCATTCTAAGTTTAATGAGAATTGACAGTGGTATGAAGGGAGGGTCTAGGAGTCACACTACTAGACTGATTGGTGTAAAAGATTCATAGTTGGTAAACACACATCGTGGGGGAATGCCTGGGACTGTAGCGAAGGAAAGGTCTGTCGGATTGCAGTGCTAGACTCTATGACGTAAAAGATTCATACTCTCTAAATACAAGTGGTAGACAAGCTTCACCCTCTGAATCAGTCATGAAAAGCAACAGTGTTCTAAAAAGAAGTGAATTGAATTCTTTTGATCATGGGGTACAGATCACGGACACGGTACTAAGAATGTACATAACAGATGTTTTGGGAATAGATACCTGATGTTCATCCGAAAAAATTGTTTAAAGTTCAACTACATGCTAACTTTAAACTGATAACAACTGCAAGAGTTACCATCGTACACCTCAAACATTCTTTACTGGAATGAAATTGGTGAGTGCTGAGTAGAAATACAGGTATTGGAGAAAGTCTCTTAAAATTAAGCCATGCATGAAAATTCTTTGATATTAAAAACGAAAAGATAAGAAAACATTGAATTGCTTTAATTTAGTCTACCTTTTCTTTGGCCCTCACACGTGAATGTTCAACATGTGCTTGATTACATACTGAGAAGTGATAATGTCCTTTACAGAAATTAAGAGGAATGGTTTGAGTTCCTTGGAATAGAAAATGTAAAAATAGTATCTTGCCCTACATCTCTGTGAGTTTACACAAATGTATGCATATTGGGGTGAAGCAAGAAAAAATGTAGTTTTTATCACAAGATATTTAATGACTTTGAGTACATAAAATGGATATCTTTATGAGATGTAAACATCGTACTTCCATATTTATATCTTATTTCTTTAGCTACCCAAAACCAATGGTTCTCATAACCTGGAGAGTTTATATGGTATAAGAGCCTTATCTTTGTTGGGTTCACTAACACAGAGCTATGCTAATACAATAATACATTTTAAAAGAACATGTACATAAAACTTTACGGTAGAAAATGAAACTAATGATCAAAACTTGTAAGATCTTTCTTTGTAGAAAGTAAAATGAATTAGGTAATTCTTACTTAAGCAATAGTAAGAAGGTGTTAATAAACTAATGAAATGCCTTCATCAAATGTTTATATATACATAAAAAATATCTAAAAAACATTCAGAATAATAATAGGAACTGCAGCTCCTCTCTCCTCTCTCCTCTCTATGGCATAACTGGGAGTGTGTGTCCCTGTATACATGTACATGTATGTTCTTGTATATGTTGAGGGTGGGGTACAGGGATCTATTTTATTCTAAACCTCCATTTCTTCAAGATTTAATATAATTAGTTTAACTGTGTTTTTTTCTTTTTTGCACGTACAACACAAGTAATTTATATTGAATGTTGATAACATATATTTTGCAATTGTTTGTAAAATATATTTTGTAAGTGATGTTGTATACATTTTTCCTATCTTATGAATATGTTTTAATCAGGGGTGATAGTGAGCACTAAAAGTTGAGTAAGAAAGAAAGAAAAAGAAGAAGAAAAAAATTGGGTAAAAATAGGGAGGAATAGGGAAGAATAGAGAAAATAAGGGAACAATCGGGAAAATCGGGATAAAATCGGAAAGGAAAAAAAAATCGGGAGGAAAAAAAAAATTGAAAAGAAATTAAAAAAACCAGGAAACCGATTTAAATCGGCTTTTTATCAGCCTTGTTTAATGTTGTATTGGGGAAGAAAGAATTTTTTCGCAAAACATAAAAATAAAGAAATAAATAACCAAATGGAAAAATATAGAGCTACATGTACACGACCAATTTTATCTTTTGTGATAATTGTAGATAATGTATGTAAAGTCAATTACAATCTTTATAAGGACTAAGAAGCGACTCAAGGTTCTCAGTACCTGGAGAGTTTATGATATAAGAACCTAATCTTTGTGGGGTTCACTAACATGGAGCTCTGCTTATACAATAATAAAAAATAGTAAAAAAACATTTTATGTAAAACCTTTCTAAAGATCAAATCCCCAGGGATACATGTGTGAGTTGTAAACACTGGATATCATACAGGTATATCTTCTAAATGTATCTTACATGTATCCTGTAGAGTTAAAGGGTATATTCGCTTTCCAAAATTACAAACCAAGTCTTTAGTGAATGAGAAACCAATGAATTTATCCGACATGTAGAATGCTTTCAGTCTCTATTCATTCTTCAGGTTAAAAAAATGCAAACATTAAGTTATGCACAAAGCATTTCAAAGGTAAAATAATAATAATAATAATTGGATCAATTTATATCACAGCTGCTATATAAACATACTCTACTGCACTAGGATGAAAACGAAACTCTTAACAGTGCTACTTTACAAACACACAATCAAATTTATTTTAAAAAAACTATTCAAAAGCTCCTAAAATCAAGTGCATCTTCAACAAGACTTTTAAGACATGAACAGATGAGGCTTTTCCTTTGTCTAGTGGTAAGTTATTCCAAAGCTCTGGAGCGGGGCAACTGAAAGCACAATTTCCAAGAGTAACTTTTGTTTTTGTGTGAGGTACATGTAGCTTTAGAAGCAACTCGTCTTGTGTACTTTGCAAGTTAGAAGAACATGGATGTGATTTGAAAGCTAATAGTTCAGACAAATTATTTAGGGCTTGACCATTCAATGCTTTATAAACAATCATAAGTATTTTGAATGCAATGTTCTGCGTTATTGGCAACCAATGAAACTTAATTAAAATAGGTGTATTATGGAAATTTTTGAGGAATTGGACACAGGTCTTGCCCTTGCAATACAAGGTACATCAATTGAATTCATACAAAATAAGAATAAAAGGGATCATCATAAAAACCCTATTGAGGCTTGACAGATTAAAAAAAATAGAATATGACAAACTATTTCAAATCTGTCTCTTTTAAATGTACAGTTATCTTTGCCTGAATTATTTTGAATGTTTATTTACATGCAGCTTTGCAAATAAACCTAAAATACATCAAATCTTTTCAAAAAGAAAAAAAAATGATGATTGAATTTCCAGCAGAGATGTTATCTTCATGAGATGTGAACGTAGTAATATAATCTCTCTTGATTAATTTTATTCATATATTCAAATATTCATAGGATTTTATTTACCAAGGTAAATAAACGTAGATTAATGGTGGACATAAACATGAAATGTAAATATACTACTTGCACTAAAGCAGCATATATTTCATTAAGGGTTGACTTTTAATCTGTTAATTTCTTTTAAGGAAGTGGGATCAATGTAGAAACAAACCCCATTCATCTGATAAAATTTGGGTGTATTGCATGGGGCAAAAGCAAAGGTAAGAGTACTGATTAAAATGCATGTTTGGGGGGGGGGGGGTCAAAGCACTGACATTAGGTGTTGGGTGAGGGTCGTGAAAACAGGGAGATTAAAAGGTCACTCAATAAGTTTTAAAAAAAATATGTATTAAGGATGTATACAGTATCAATAACATCTACAGGTGTATGTTGTTTTAAATTCTTACCGTAATCTTCTTAAAGTAATTTTGCTGGCTCATTTGTGTGAAAATGAATTAAAACTTCAGATAATTTCATTTCATGCTCATCTTTGAATAAAACTTATACCTCCAGAATCTTAGTTCTAACAAGGGAAATGCTCTCGGCGGTCTCGCCTGCATAACGCAATTCAATATGATAAACCAGAACGTCAATGACGTAGCGCTCATTCGCATCTCGCAACAACAAATATCGTAAATTTTATGTGGTACACTTTTGAACTGGTCAAAAAATAAAAATTTGATGCCCTGGCAGGGACATAATTTCATTTCATTTGCATAAAGTACCATAATTAATCAATGGAGCAAAATCTCACAATTCTATGTAGAAGTTTAGTGTTCCAAATTTAGCTCTACCAGATAAGCCAAGCCAAATCAAAATCAGTCAAGAAATGAGGGAAAAGAAGCAATTTTTGTTATTTTTGGAATAAATTTGCATAAATTACCATAATTCATTAATGGAGAACAATTTCAAAATTATGTGTAGAAGTTTAGTGTACCAAAGTTAGTTCTACGATATAAAGCAAACCAAATCAAAATCGGTCGAGAAATGAAGGAGAAGAAGCCTTTTTTGTGATTTCGAATAATTTTGCAAAAATTAGCATAAATAATGAATTTCACAATTCTGTGTAGAAATTTTAAATACCCCTCCTAGCCCTATCATATGAAACAATCAGAATCAAAATCGGTTGAAAAATAACGAAGAAGAACATTTTGAAAATCTTGATGCCTCAACATAGTCCAAGTCTGTTGACCTGAAATGACCTTTAACCTTGACTTGGTGATCTGAAATTCTACTCACATGATTGGGGATACTTGATTACCCTATAGTCAAAGTTTCATTGACTAAGAACTTATACTTTAAAAATTATATCAAAAATTCAAAAACTTAACCTTAGGTTAAGTTTTTGATGTTGACGCCACGGCCGCCGTCGCCGTCGCCGTCACCGGAATCACCGGAATAGCGGCGCTTATGTCTCGCTTTTTGCTACGCAGGCGACACAAAAATAAAATGAAAAGCCATGGAGATAAGAACAAAGTATATGTTTAGGATAACAATTCTCCAAATTGTTATCTTCATGAGATATCAAGAAAGTCCTCTGACAAGTCCAATATTGAGCTATATGTGATTGAAAGTCTGAAATGATAATGTGTAGTCATCATTCATTGACTCAAAATTCTTGAAAGTACATAACTATAATAAAAATATAGGTTTTCCCAAACCAAAGACTGTAGTACATGAATGACTAATCACTTTTTTCATGTTTTTTTTTTATGGGGTTATGAACTCATAATCTCAGAAATTTTATTTTTTACCTATCTTGAGGAGTTCTGATTGTCTGAAGTACAATACAGCAAAGAAGGTTCTTGAAATATAAAAATACATGTATCATAATGTAGGGCCAAGTCACAGAATTTATTTGTACCTCCCATACTATTACATATTTATTTAACAATGGTTCATAATCACATTACTTTTGTGTGTCCTGTACATGTACATAAAAACGAAAAAGTCAACATTTTAACAAGCTAATGGAAAATCATTCTTTTATTTTGATCAGTGTCTTAAGAAGCATTTAAAAATACTCTTGTAATGATGGTAACTTTCAATTGCATAGCATAAACTTTGTTTTTGTGTTATATCCATATCGATAGTTGAAGTTCCAGGATGACTGAGCAATACGAAAACAATATTGATCAATCATCCGGGTACTGCGCTTAAGATATTAAACACACTGATTTATCGTGCCACTTGGAAGTCTTATATAGATAATAATCTACAATATCTCAATATTGCAATAAATAATCATCAATGTTTTCATTTATTCTCATTCATTGCACAAGATCATCAGTATTCATGCAAGCAAGGCTTTAAAATCACAAGTATTATAGATTCAGTGAAATATTGTTGTACAATAAAAATAGATAGATAAAGCAGGCTACCAGATAATCTTTGTACTATAATCAAGTACAGGAAATGAATTTGTCTGCAGTAGAAGAAGAGGCAACATTTGTACTTACCAAGAATTTGTTTGCAGGGGCTGTCTGTTGTGATGGGGACACGGCAGGTTGGGCAATGAGACCGGTGTTGTAGCCACACCTCCATACAGGTGTTACAAAACACATGCTGGTTACTGCAGATAACTGGCTCTTTCACCTAGAGGTAAAGTACACAAGAGAAAAATTCATCATTTTTGTTTGTTGTAAGATAATGACCACCAACTAGGAGAAGACGAGTATCTCATAATACCTGGTAAATTTAAACAATCAAGGTGAATAGCAAGAAAAGAAAAAAGAAAAAAAGGAAAAAGAGAAAAGAAAAATGTTTTTTATAATTGATATATATTTTCCCCCTGAAAAAATGAAAATAGAAAAGGTATGAAGTAGAAAGAAAAAAATCACACACTACTAGTAATTTGAATACATGTCATTTGCATTTTGCAATATTAACAATGCACCTTCACAAAGTAAGAAAGGAAACAAACATTTTGATTATTTGTTCATTCTTCACTTCAAATCAGTCAGTATTAGTTCCATTGTTACAACACAGGCCAAGTTTGATGGGTATTGCATTAGTTAAATATCTTTAAATTGGTTTAGGGAGAAGGGGAGGGATCTGTTTACCAAATTATTATGAAATAACCATACAAATTTAATAACTTCTTTAAAAGAAATGGAATATAAATCAAGTATATTTTTTTCTCTACATGCATTGCTAAACAGACAAAGACAAAGACAAACAAAAGAGAATAATTGTATTCATGTAAATTCCTTTCACACACAGCTGAACTAAAGTCTAAATCAGTGCCGAATCATTTTGATGCAGACAACTAGCCCTTTTCTATGATATTCAACTGTAATGCATAATCAAGCAGAGTCAATGAAATACAAACAAAACAACAAAGAGAAAATAAAGACTTCAACAGCCATTTTATCCAACATTTACATCTACACTTACATCTAGATTAAGTGGATTTTATTAAAAATCTACTTCTAGATTAAATTATTATAAAATGCTTATAAAAATCATGGCTTACTTACTGTCTTTCCCATTAATCACTTTCATCAATCATCATCATTCATCATCATTCACTACCATCATCATCATTGTTATTATTGTTTATTATTATCATCATCATCACAATCCTCGCTTTGTCCTGAAAATTTTGAAATTCTTTCTAGAACCAACTAAAGCCAAGGCACTAATCAATTTTGTGTCTAATTAGTAGATCTGTGTCTAATTAGTAGATCTAGGCCTAATCTTTTTTCATTTGTAAACAGTATACTAGACTACATGTGGTACAGGAACATTACCCCCACGGAGAACTTTAGCTTACATTTGGCACGTGCGCAGATCACTCATCCGATCTCAGCCTCATTTTCGTAAGTGGACGCCTAGCCTGGCCGACATGGGCCCTTCTGATTGGCTATCGCTGGTCTCTATTCACTAAATGCTATAAGTCTTAATAAGAGATTTGGGCAAGGAGCAAGCTATTCCAGAATCTGGCCTATTTAATTTTGATTTCTACCACACCAACGTAACGCTGCCTCTCCCTACTTACTTGCTACCAGCTGATGATGGCGTGATCATTAAATTAAGACGCCAGGCTGGGCTGGTGAGCATAATTATGAGTTTGTTGATAATGCCATCTTCAACGGCTGTGTAGGAAATTATAAAGGACTGGGCAGATTCTGAGAGCGCGTAAACTCGTTGTACAGCGCTAGATCATGTAGATGCACAAAGTTCTCTGTGACCCCTCAATCAGTCAATGTTTCAAATAAATGCTGAAAAATGAAGCCAAAGCTAAATATAGTTTGGAACCCTCTGTATGCTCAGCTTATCGTCAGGTATCGTCCTGACGGTTCTCAAACGGGTAGAACGGCACGGCGCGGCGCAAGCTTCACAGCGTTCCTGGCATTGTTCGACTTCAATTTCCAACTCGATAATAAACGCTTGGGACTACACAAGAGCTTATCGGTATCAACTAAACAATAAAAGCAAGTACATTTAAAAGATATTATGGTGTAAAAGTATAGAGAATATAAAGAAGAATTTCCAGTCATAACGTTAATTTACAATTTTTCAAATCATACCTTTCCTAAGCAGATTTGACAGGCAATTGGTAGCGTAAAGGAGACGGACGGTTTCTTCATGGAGGCTGCCATCTTGTTTGATAACATAACATAAAGTTTGTATTATTGCGCTTAGGTGTGTATATTTCCTCAAATCTAATTAAATCATACAGCAGTAGCTCATACTCTTATATAGTTATCAACAGTCAACCTTGTGTGAATTTACTACAGAATTTAAAAAGAATTGAACGATTTAATACGAACTATATTTGTTCATAATGTGTGGTTAGGCATGCATGTAAACAATTTCGTACACAGCACAGGTGCAACGTGGATGTTTCCAATGAATGAATCTAGATCTATGTCTATGTGTATGTGCATAGCCAGGCAGGCAGCTGACAAGTACAGTGTACAAAAGTCAGAGCTGAAGTGAATTTACACAGGTGGCACCAAGGAAAAGGACCAAAAATGGGGTTGCTTGAGAAGATTAAAGAAAATTGGTTTCTGATGGGGATCATTGTTGTCATCCTTGCTGCCAGAGCAGAGCCATCCATCGGGCAGAAAGGCGGTAAGTCAGTACGACTGTGTTCTAGAAAGTCTACATCTAAAATTCTAAATAACCTAAACTTGATTTCCACTGATTATTTATAGTAATAACTATCAAAAAGTTACAGTCTACTTCATTTATTTACAGTATTAATTTTCATTGTTGAATGAATGGGGGAAAAAACCCTGGGAAAGTAGGCCTACATATTTTGTGTAAACGGCTGAGAAGCATAAACAGATAAGTAATAACTAATCTAGACTATATGTTTCAGATGAAAGGAATTCAATGTGAAAGTGCACCAGTTCCTTAATATTCATATCAAATTTGTCGCTTGCATGCAGATCAATGTATTTATTTTTACACAACCTAATTCATTTTCACCTTCTCTCTTGCATTTCAGGTCCTCTTATTCCAGAGATAACAGTCAAGTACCTGGCAGTGTCCATCATTTTTTTCAACAGTGGTCTTTCTCTTAAAACAGAGGTTAGTTGTCACCATTTCCAACTCTTCCCATCCCTTTCCATTTCAATATTGTAAAATGAAAAAGCCCACTGCATTGAACATGGTGATAAACTGTGTAAAAAGAAAAGGAAAGATTCTGTAGCACCAACAGGAATTGGCACAGGCATCGAGTCTTTTACATTTGTTGTATAGTATCTTACATACATTACATTAGAACACACAGTAACATAAAGATCAGTGAGTAAACATGTATAGGCACCATTTATTCCCTCCCCCCCCCCCCCCCCCACCAAATACACCAAATACACATCTCCATTATATTCATTATAGTTTTTGCACTGTAGTGGAATCACTGTCTCATAACACTTTGGATTTTCATGTTTTCCTTCCCTTTTTTTATTTTTGCTTTGGTTGTATTTGATAACTTATCATCTTGTGATTCCGCGTTACAGGACCTCAAGAGTGCTTTACTTCATGTCAAACTACACTGCTTTGTTCAGCTCTTCACACTAACGTTTGTTCCGTGCTTCGTTTGGGTTCTTATTAAATTTCTATCAGCAACAGACATTGATGGCTGGCTTCTAAAGGGGTAAGTTCAAAATATCACATGATTTGCCTCCCTTATTCTTAACCCCCCCCCCCCCCCCCCCCCCCCCCAAAAAAAAGAAAATTGTCCCTGTGCACTTTGGAAGAAGAAAAAAATCAAAGAGAAAATAGGTTTCAGACTTTTCAGAGTTCCTTATATCGGGTTAACATTTTGAATGAATGTGTTTTAAGGACAGATTTTAACTTATCTGTAGTATTAACAAGGACAAAATTACTTTAAAAATTTCGGGGGCTACTTTTCAAGCTTGCTTGCATGAAAATAACACTCTTTAATTTGTTTTGCATTGAACTCTATTCAAAATTTGGGGGCTATTTTAAGACTTTCAGGGGCTCTTTTGGGCATTTCGGGGGCTAACCTGAAAAAAATTACACAGGGGCTCGGGGCGAATTAGCCCCCAAAATAGAGTTCAATGCCAAACAAATTAAAGAGTGTTATTTTCATGCAAGCAAGCTTGAAAAGTAGCCCCCCAAATTTTTATAGTAATTTTTTCCCTGTGTATTAATGTGTCTCATAGAGTCAGGGAGGGTATTTCACAAAACTGGGGCAGCATGGGCGAATGACATTTGCCATGTAATTTATATGTATAATCATTTATTGCTATTTTTCATCATTGCAACCGTTGCAGGAGAATAATAATTATGACAGGATACTGATATTTCTCAACTCGTTGACGCTTTGATTCCCCATTTTCCATAGACTTCAGCCCATAGTATCTCAGGCTAAAGATATACAGGGGAACAAGTAACTTGTACCAGTAACTAATTCATTTAGAAATTCTAAAATATAGCAATTGATAAATCTATTTCATTTTGGGGAAACCTTCACCTCAGAAGAACACTAACTTATTTACTAGTATGCAATTTGCGTTCTGGCAATTGTAGTACAAAGGATATAGCAGGTGAATGAAATACTTCATCACAACACATACCTGGGAAGGAAACATCCATAAATTTGAATACATTTACTTAAAAAACGACTTCACATACACCATGTTATCAAGAAAATGGCGATACCCATGTCATGCTGAGAAACTGAAAATTATTCGCCTTGTATGCCTCTCTCATACACATTGCCATCTTGTAGATTAATGGGCAAGAATATAATAAATCTCTCAGAATGAATAAAGTTATTTCTTGGTTTGAGGTTTCCTTTAATGACTGAATGTTCAAAAGATAACACTGCAGATAACAGGAAGACATGTTTATCTTGTAGAGATAAATGCAACCCATTTTATTGTATTCAGTAACCTGTGCCATATTTTAAAGAAATGTTTGAACATTGTAGACTTAGACCCTATTCATGATAATTTGATGTAATAAATCGCAAGTCCTCTGTCAAGTTTGCACTCCCTTATCTCTTATGTACACAGTTGTGATTGGTGTATATTGCAAATAAGTTATGATTATTTGAAGTTGTTTATAAGATGGGGCTCAGATGACTCATATTGACTATAAAAAAGGTTAGTTTTATTTAGGGGAACCTATAATCTACAAGCTAAGCTTTTGAATAGGTTCCTCACATTTCACCCTGTATAACCTACTATTCAATACAATTAATGTTGACGTCTTTACAAAGAATTGATTATATAATGTGATACTTTTAGTATATTTCATAAATTCATATTATTTTCTAATTTTGTCAATTATGTGAATTCTATTTTGTGAAATGTGAAACAAAATAAACTTGAAACTTGAAACTTGACTAGTAACCTGTTAAACACTAAAGAAAATTATAATGGTTGAAAGAAAAAATTGGCAAAGGAATGCACCTAATGAAGATTCTATAAATACATCCTTATGGATGTTGATACCATTCACCCAGTCAGCCAATTACTTTATATCCTCTGGAACTTACCATCTTATTGGGTCAAATACAGAACAGTTATCCAGCATCTTCCAAACCATTGGTAAACTGCATTTTGTAATGTCTCTGTTAAATGCACTGTAAAAGTAGTTAAATATTCTACTTCTTACTTTAAAGTGTTTACAGATCATCTTATTTAATGTCAATGGAGATAGACCACACACCCACCCATCAATACACAATTTTGGTGAGTCAATAAAAGAGACTGCAAAAGTGCAAACAAATTGTCTCACTTCTGAGTTTCCTTATCAAATCTGGAGGGAACAAGCATACATTTTAACAGATCAGGGTTAAGTTAAATGAAAGATTGAATGAGCATTTTAAATAGAAATTGAAAAGGAAAATTTACATGTACTCCTTGATTTAGGAGCTATGATCTAGAAAATCAGAGCATCTGCAGACTAATTAGAGATGTGTTTTTCAATTAGCTTGAAAAAGGACATTCAATATGAAGTTATGAACTATTTTAGGGTCAAATTGTATTTTATTTCATTTTTGTTAAACCTATAAATGTTACAAAATCACATAATGCAAATCTAAAATATTTGAGTTTAGTATAGTATCTCCTTTAGTCATTGGGTGTTAAGTGCCCATAGCATCCCAGTATGACCCGACCTGTAGTTGGGCACTTGGGCTACCAAAGGCACACACACCATTCAAAGAATTCCTATCTCATTCATGATGTATACCACAAGCAGTGCAACTACAGAGTTTAACTCATTATGTATTATATTTTGGAGCAAGCCCCATAAGCACCTACATATAACTGGCAGATACAACACTATACCAGACATTGTTATTACTAGTCACTTTTAGTAGGTGTAACCTACACCTGGGTTGAGTGTGGCAAAGGTGGATTTGCATGTAGGTATTCAGGTTTTTCAAATAGTGGTAATAATTACAGTGCTTATATAGCGCCTAACACTTACTTTGTCAGAAGTCTCTAAGCGCTCTACAATAATGCAGCATAATTACCCTGGCTTTAGCAGTGCAGCTGTTACGCGCGCTGCGTTTCAAGGAATAAATTCCTACCAGGTACCCATTTACTTCACCTGGATGGAGTGTGGCAAATGTAGATCAATGTCTTGCCAAAGGACATTAGTGCAGCGGCGGGACTCGAACCGCGGACCTTGTGATCGGCAGTCCGGCGACGTATCCACTCGACCACAACACCTCTACTGATTTATTTATTAGTTGAGAGGGTTACAAGTTCATATCCTTGCTTAGACAAAGCATTTTATGTACAATTGACTTTTTCTTTCCATGTGTAATAAATGGACAGCTGGTAGGATTCATTCTTTGAAATTAGTGCTGTAACATCACGGATATCTCCAATTCCGTTTAACCGCCTGTCAAAACCGGACGGTTTTCGGTTAAACGATTTTTTTTTTTTTTTTTAAATTAAAAAAAAAAAAAAAAAAAAAAAAAAAAAAAAAAAAAAATCATTTTTTTTTTTTGTTTCTTTTTTGGCCGTGTGAAAAAGCAGGAAGGTGATTTAACTGAAGGCACCGATTTGTGCTTGTGAACTAGTCACAAATAATAGTAACAATGTCGTTTTAGAATAATGTGTAAGATCATTAAAGTAAATTAAAAACAGTAGAGGACCTAGGATAGAACCTTGTGGTACACCATGTGTTAAACTTGGATGAATATATATTGAGATCTATTACAAAGATTACTTTCAAACCAAGATGACAGACAAATTGGAGTGTTGTTCTAGTTTCCAAGTGGTAAGTCATCACACCGATTACTGAGCTGGGAGACATTGCCAGGCTTAGTGCCAGGTGGAGGGGCATAAATCGAAACTTTAAAAAAAAAATAAAAAAAAAAAAAAAAACGGGAAAACGAAACCGTCCAATTGAAAACGGAATCCGCCATGGGTGGTCGGATACCGGACGGTTAAACGTTTGACTACAGCACTATTTGAAATGCTATGAATATGCATCTTAATCGCCTATTTTTGTGCCATTTTGTCATTGAAAACTGCACTATTAGGGGAAATCACCCTGCCAAAGGTTAGCTAAGGTTTCTAAAAATTTGACGACTAGAGTCATTGGTCGACGTCTTTTGATTATTAAAAAATATTATTGCTGTCTTAGTGTCTTATAATTGGTCCCTCACATATCATCTAGGCCTCTAAGGACATCAACTGTATATCGTTCCTCCCTCCTTCCTATTCTCCAATCCTTTCTTTTCTTTCCCTTTTTCATCCCCTCCCATTGAGCCACTATTGCTCTTCTCCTTTGACCCCCCTCTCCCTCTTTTTCTCTCACTTTGCAACTAAAAATATCTAAAGACCTTTCTGTTCATACTTCCTTGTATAACTGACTTTATTTGTAAGCCAAGATTTATGATTGAGAGGGCAGTTGGTCAGCTTGGCTGAAATAAGGACATTCCAGAAGGGAATGGTTTGAAAGGACAGATAAAGCATGTGACAGAATGATAGGTGGCGTAGCCGGCGTGAGCAGCACAAAGCCCGCTAGGATATGGATGGGTACGGAATGATCCACACGTTCAATACCCAGGGGCGATATTTTGGTCTCATTTATTATTTCACTCACAAAATACCTGCCCATTACCCTGATAATGATGGTAGGGAGGTGTGAACGGCAGCCATATGTGAGAAGATGAGGATGAAAGAGAAAGAAGAAAGAAGGAGTAAATCAGGATAGACTACTGGAGAAGGTAGAAAGAGATGACTTGGAATAGGGAGGAAAAGCTCAGGATGAGGGGAATTGGATTTAAACAGAGAGAGTGAGAGAGAGAGAGAGAGAGAGAGAGAGAGAGGGTGAAGGGTGGGGGAGGAGAGAGAAAGAGAGAGAAAGAAAAGAAGAAAGAAAGAAAGAAAGGAAGAGGAAGAAGTCAAGAGGATGCATCATGAAAGAGGAGCTAAATAGAGAAAATAATACAATAGGGGGAATTATAAAATTATATATTAGAAGGAAAAAGTTTTGACAAAGTTGAAAATTATGAATAAAAAAAATGTGATTGAGACAAAGTAATATATGAGATGACTGAAAGAGGGTATAAAAAGAGAAAAGAGGTAAGGAGCAGAGGAAAATATTTTTGAATATAGAAAAAGAAACAGGAGCAGAAAAGTAGTAGAGAGAAAGAAAGAAATAAGTGGGTGAGATACTGAGAGAGACACGGAGGGAGAGAGAGAGAGAGAGAGAGAAAAAAAATCAAGTTACAAATGAAAGTGGTGAAGCAAAGAAGGACATGGTATTGGCAAAATCATAAACACCTCAATAAAAAGGAATAAAAAAAAATTGGAAATATATATTCATAGGGGGAAAGGTTGTGGATGAGATATGAATCTTAAAAAGAAGACACTTTGGTACATCAGGATGCAGGGCGATGGGCCATAAATGGACAAGATTAATTGTAGTGTGAGAGACTCATACCTTATTAATACTAATGAAGTTAAAACTGCATGGCTCGATGCACTGAATTGCAGTTACCAGAAATGGGACAACTTCATTTACAAGTGCTCTACAAATAGACGGGTGGACAAATTTCTCGGCAATCAGAGGAGGAAAATACAAAAAAGAAGAAAAAAGTTAAATGGAAAGGCATCAATCATATTTTGTAACTCTTTCTATGTTTCTCCTATTGTTTTGATCTCTAAGGCAATCCACAGTCTCATTTTTTCCCTCCAAATATGTTCTAAATTTGAAATTAGGAAACATGAATTCTGGTAGATTTGTATTCTGCATTTGTGGAGATACCTATATTTGAAAGACATTTTAACACCTCCAATTGCATATATATTTCAAAATCAGACAGCTTCAGGCATCATTAATTGCAAATTTGTTGGGGGATTTATGTAACTATTTCACTCATTTCGCTTTTATGTGTAATTATTAAAGTTCAGAAAAATTAAAGTGAACGATACTTTTCATTTACGTCTTATGTAGAACATGATCCCAAATATTTTTGAAAAATTATCTCAAGGGCAATACCAACCAATACCCTATTTTTCAGTCCCATAGAAGTCATGTTCGGAATACCTAATATGCAACTTTTCTCACACTTCAATAGGTGACATACAAGGCTATTTAGATTGCCTTTTGTTGATATGTCAACAGTAGTTGCTATGATGTTGTAGGAACATGGAAGATATTTACACATTTTTTTACATTGATTACTCGTCTTTATACCATACATGTATATATGAAATTGTAACAAATATGTTCTATGCCAGTAGGATTTAAATTAAATCTCTCAAAATCCCCCCATTTTTTGTTGTATTTATTTATTTATTTCTTTATTTATTTATTTATTTATTTATTTATTCATATATTTATGGCTACAAATGTTGAAGTTCAAATGCAAATAAAAATGTAAAGTGAAACGGAACAGTCAGACAATGATATAAATGATATACACAATGAATATTATTGATATAAATATATTGGATAATATGGTGTGGCATAGAGTACTTTTGAATGTGGACTGCTCTTCATTTTCATTTACTTGTAGCTATTCTGTAGAAAACTTAGTGAACATACCTGTAAATCTGTGAAGGAATTGGGAATTTGTCAATACAAAAAACAATACCAGCAAAATGTTACACTTGCTGGTATTTTCTAACTTCACAATAACTGCAGGTACCAGTACAAGTATTTTAGCAAGAAAATATATCTTAGCTCGCTTATATCCATGAGATTACAGACTATCCTATCCTATTTGTGACAGATGCATGTTCAATAAATGACTTCTCTGACCTAAAAAATAATCAGCTTGTGTGTTATAAATTTTCTAACAGGTTTGTTTTTACGGTAAAATGGCAGAATTGTTGACAGGTCTAGTTCTCGACAACTATTCTCGGAATGATATACAATAAACATGGGAATGTGGCTATGATATTTATGTGTTGAGTGTTCTACACAACAGAAATGGTGTTTATAACATTTTGATTATACACATCAGCACTCCAGATTCAAAGATGCAATAAAAACCTTTGTTTTCTGCCTGCTTGCACTATGAAATCACATCCCAAGTCTCTGCAATATTCAAGCAAGTAATCAGTTAAAAGTGAGAACAGACAGAACAAATCTGAACTTCATCAATTATTATCGACATTCTATTATACACTTGACTACATATAAAATTCCTATTGATCTCTACCACTTTGCTGCCCATGAAAAATAGATTAGAAAATCACTTTATGTGAAGCACTAAGAGAATCCAGCCTGCATTGTACTTATCAAAATATGAATTTTCCATGAAGTTGAGTAAAAATACCCAGACTCAAAAAATGATGAAAGCTGGGAAGAGAGTGGAACAAGGTGGTCTTGCATAATAAATGATAGACGATGAAACCGATTGTTTGTCTCCATTCATGTTTCAGACTGGATTGAGTAGTATGGAAGGCCAACAGGTAGCGTAGTAGAGATAGAATCCAATTAATTTAGCTGTGATGGGGAATTCATTTGTTCTTTTTGTAAGCATTGAAGTGGAGGGGATTTGTTGTGGGGACCCATTAATTTCCACATTTGAAAGAGCCTGTGAGTACTTTTGGTAATGAACAGAATTTATAATGAGGCTCGGGTTGGGATGAGAGCTTGGTTAGTTTGGTTGTCTTTGGATGCAGTCCCTTCTTCTTCAATTTATACTATCTATTCCCTCTTATCCATCTATCTGTCAATCAATCTCTCCATGTCTTAGATATCTCTGTCTTTCTATCTATTTATATTCTCCTTTCTCTATCACTGTTGTCTTCTCTTTCTTTCAATGCCTCTATCATTGTCACTTTCTCCCTTTTTCCTCTTTAGCTTTAAATCAAATCTTTGATTTCTTTTCCATCATGTATTCCATCCTTCAGAACATATGTTTACCAACGTTAGGGTCTTTAAAAATTATAACTTTGTAATGTATTTTATATTTTAACATTTATTCAGTTTTTGTGCATTCATAATAATAATAATGAATGAAAAATGGAAATAAACATGACATCGATTAAAAACAAATACCCTCAATATATACTTGTTCACTTTGTTCATTCCCCCAAACTGAAAGGGCAATGTTTTTTCTCTGTACATCATTTTATTTATTTATTTTTTAATTTAATTTGTTTCATTTTTTCTATAGATAATTAGTAAAGATCATTTACATTGTTTTTAATGAAACTGTGTATTGCAATAAGTGATGAAGGAGGAAGAGAGCAGGCGGTTTTCCTTGATGTCTTAAAATATGCAACCTTCACGCACCAAGAGATAAATGATTCATCAAAATTAAATTGATGTGTTTTATGTTAAAAGACTATTTTAGTAAATGATATTTGTGTTTAGCAGTTTAACTCATTTTTATATTTCCTAATGGCTTCAGTGATGACTGTGAGCTATTAAAAAAAAAATTCTATTTAAAGCAGTATTATAGATTCATATTAGGCATGTTTTCATGCATGGTGTCTAATTGAGCTTCTCTAAAGTAAGAAAGAAAATTGGATTCCTACATTTGAGTAGCATTGAGGAGGGCGGGCGGGAGGGGAGAGATTGAAGTGAATGTAAAAAAGACAAGCACGAAGAGACACAGGGTTTTTTATTGAGTAAACAAGAAAGAACAATAAATTGTTTAAAAGGGTAACAGAAAATAAGAGAAATCAAAGGTGAAGAGGGAAAGATAAACAAGGGTTTGACCTTAGATAAAAAAAATAGTCCTTGAAAGAAGACTCGAAGCTCAAAGTAATAAGACTTAAAGAGAGGGTAAGATTTTAATAACACTCAAAACCAACCAAATTTCAATTGCAGGCCTTTGTAGCTGTGATGCAGTCAAATATTTCTACCTTTTATCTGTCTTGAAAAAAGTTTACTAGACTAAAACTTGGGCTCAATGTTCGAGAAGAAATATGAATCAAAAGTGCAAAAGTACATGACTAACCATGTTTTGTATTTGATTGATTGATTGATTGGCAGGTTACAGGTAGTAGGATGCATGCCACCACCGGTATCATCAGCTGTCATCCTTACTAAGGCTGTAGGAGGAAATGAGGTGAGTCAATGAATACTAACATTGATCAGTGGAAGAAGAGTAGGCATGACAGGTGGTGGTGGTGGTAGTGGTGCTAGTTTGTGAGGTCCACTTACCTTTTTCACCACTGGGTGGAAAATTCATCACAATGGCGCTCATTTAAGAGAAATAAAGGACCACTAGTGTTTTCTTTTTCTGGCCTGTTGATGGTGATGATGATGATGATGATGATGATGATGGTGGTGGTGATGATGGTAATAATGATACTGTAAGCGCTTTGATGGTTAAGTAGTAAAGGTGCTTTATTATTTACAGTCGTGAATGAAGTGGTGGAGGAGGAGGAGAGGAGGAATAGGAGGAGCCATAAATTTACATTTTAGTTCAATTCAATTCAATACATTAAAATTGAGAAGCCATGTTCTTTGACCATTTATGAACTTCATCTGTTATAGTTGCAGTATCTTTATCCTATAACAACACAAAACCACAGAGAATGACACTCAGCGCCAGCTAGTTTGCAATTACTTTCATACAATTTGGCATTCAAAGGAATCTTTTGATATCTTTGTTGATATAAGATTACCTGTTTCTCTGATCCTGGTTCATTTATATTCCCCCTCAAAAACCAAATAAAATAACTTAACATACAAGAGAAAGAAAGAAAAAGAAAAAAATCTGTAGAGTTTTTTTCCCCTTCATGCTGTTATGTTTAAAATAAGATATATAATTGAGCAATGAGTGGTTTTAGACAATTTTCAACATGAAATTTAAACAAATACAATTTAACCTTTGTAGTTCATTGAATTAAACATATTTCTGAGAAGAAAAAACACATTTTTAATAACATAGTACAAAACACAAAAAGTATAGATAAAATCACAAAATTATGCATTTGTTAAAAAGCTTTTTAGTTTTAAATCCATGAGAAAAATTATGTGAAATACAACAAATGATTTTTAGACAAGAGTTTCTCAGAATCGAGGCACTGTCTGAAATGTAATTGCCTTTTATTTTTGTAATTTATGGGTATCCTTTGAAAGGATATTACCCAATGACATGATTTGAAATAAATGACTTCCCAATATCAATAAACAAAGTGCATGGTGTAAGAGGCTCCATCATCGTCTCATTTAAGCTGCATTGGAGGAGAGAATACTCCGCAGGTCCCTCAAGACTTGGGCTGGCATGAGGATATAATTAACCAGAATCTATTAACCACCCTAACCCATGAAACTTTGATGCCTCTGGTAAATACATTTATTGAAGGCTAGCTTCACAGACCATTGTTGTACTTAGGCTATCAGTTACACCAACTGAAGCTAGCAAAAGAATTGAATTCAGGCATTCATGGGTAACTTTAGAAGGGTGCCCTAGAGTTAGATTCAAAGAAGCAACATGAAGAGGACTTCAAGTGGTATCTCTAGGATACAATGGGATGGTTAGGAGTTGTGGAAGATGAAGCAATTTCAGTGACTGGCTTCATGTTTCAATTGATATAATCCAGCCTTGCCATGAAATATGGACACGCTTGATGTCGGAGCATGTTTGCCGCTTTTGATGGCTGAAATATGCATGGGGGGACCCCGTCACGCTTGCTTGGGTCTAGAGTAGCGACAAGAAGAGAGACTCTTCCGCTCTTCACGCTTGGTAGGTGCTAGATGTAGTTAGGCCGCTACTGCAGGCACTGCGCTGCCACGGCACAGCCCTGCCAAAGTAGCCTCTCATCCATCAGAAGAAAAAATGTGCCCTGAAGATGGAGAGAGAGAGATAGAGAAAGATACGGATGGAAGAAGATGGAGAAGTTGTAGAATGATAGAAGATTGATAGACTGGATGGGTTATTAAAAGGTGAAATAAAGGAATTGAAAAATTCTGAGGAAGGTTAGAAAATAAGCTTGAAAGTTTTTGTATTCAGCAACTCATCGAAGGGCATGAAAAATAAAATCAAATGGAGTTGAATTCATGATGTTTACACTGTTTTACAGATGTATTTATAATTTGACACATGAAACATTTGAAGAGAAAGAAATGTATGTGAGATAGGGAAAGGTAGAACATTGAAATGGAAGAAAATATGTGATTTTGGGCATAATGCAAAATAGCAATGGGAAGAGGACAAGGGTGGAGGAATATGGAACATAAGGAGACCAGGAAAGATGCTGAAAGTGAAGGATATGGAGAAAGAGAGGGAAAGAGAGAGAGAGAGAGAGAGAAGGAGAGAGAGTGTCAGACAGTGAGGAATAGAAGAGGGGAAAGGGAGAGAAATGGAAAGAGAGAGAGAGAATAGGAGATGGAGGGTGGTGGGATGTCAATTGAGTCCTGGGGTGTTTTAACACCTCATCAAATCAACCATCCACATACACATTTTGATTCATTGTCCAGTGACCGCAAGAAAGGCTCAACCCTAACATTGTCAAAAATCCTCTCTCTGCCATCACTCTAAATGACAATATAATAGGTCAGTTTTTACAATTCTTGCTGAAAGTAGAAAATATGACAGTATACATTTAAAAATGTTCCTTGTGTTTCTTTGTTGGAATTGCATGTATGGTTTACAGTATCGTTATTATTGCTCTCATTTTATTGATATCATCCATATTTCTTAATTTCACAGGCAGCAGCTATTTTCAATTCAGCATTTGGCAGTTTCCTGGTAAGTTCAAATAAACAATTATTATATTTTGTCAGTTATCCCGCAAGAAGGCAGTTTCTGCCATTGCCAATACATATCTGCCACTGCCTTCCTGCAGGCAGCCAATGATTAATGGCCTCCAAATCATTGTCTGGACCCCTTTAGATTTCTGTTCAGTTTTTGCTACCTCCTTCCTCTTTTTCTTGACATGACTTGCATGTCCCTTTGCCATTTATCTCAGCCTGTCAAAGATCTTTGTATGTTGCTATCTCTCTTGTCTATTCCTCATTCATTAAATTATTTTGCTTTTTGATTATGCTCATATTTTGCAATCCATGTCAAGCTTTTTGCTTTCATGACCTCCAGGTGTCTTGTCCTTTACCCTTGACCTTGAAATCTCTTGTCCTTAACCTGACCATGACCTTCAATTCTCTTGATCTTATGTTCTCTTGATAGTTTATCATCTTCAACTTTCAATGACCTTCACCTTGATCTTCAACTTTCTTGACCTTTAACTTCTTCAACGACCTTCAAACTCAATGATCTTCATTGATTCCACTTTGATGACCTTTGTATGCAGGTGCACGTAGTGGCCTCTCTATCCTATGGCCTTTCTGAAGAGGTTCTGTTTTGATCTGCCTATTCCATGCTGGTTTCTTGACATGTGGTGTGCTCATCTTCTTTTAGCCCTCGGTCTTCCTCCCTCGCTGTCCATCGGGAGCAACTAGCATCCATATTTGATGCCCCCTTCATCTATCTTGCATGTGGATTGGGGGCTCAGCGGCACCCTTGTCACTGTAGCTTCATTACATGCCGATAAGCACGACTTAAACGCAAGACGGTGTCAATGTCACAAGTGGGACCCTTGTACTTTAAGTAGATCGTTTTAGGTTCTCTCTCCTTTTACTCTCTTGCTTTTATTCTCTTATCTCTCATATACTTCTATCTTTCTCTATGACAAACTTTCATTATTTTGTTTTTCTTTACTTTTTTTTCAGGCACTCTGTGATCTGTGATTCTTTTATTTCTCTTTTCCTTATTTCTTTATTTTCAATTTTTGTTTTACCTGTGTGTCTTTGCCTATTTTCCCTCTTTGCTCTCCTTTCTAAGTTCTGATAATGTTTTCAATGACTGTTTAACAACATTTTTCTCCTATATATCTTGGAACTATATCTTGAATGTGAGCTCTTTTTCAGATTCATTTATCAAAGTATAACTGAAATTGTTAAACTTCTTTTGTGACTTTTGCTATTTCTACTACTTTTTCAACAACTTCCAATGATGTACCTGGTAATAGTGTCCTTGTTATTTACTCTAATTCAAGACATTCTTTTCATTCTATTTTTTTAATGCTGGTTGGTGATGACTTCTATTAGACCTTTGCAGCTGTTTGTTTTTCAACCCCAACCTTTTCTTTCCCCCTCTGTCTCTCCCCTTTGTCTATGGTTTTATGCTTTATCTTTCTTTCCTTTCGGCATCTTCGTCTGATTTGATGCGATCGCCAGTGGCTCCCAATTTCAGCAAGGCCCTCTTGGGGTTAGAGTGAGAGTTAAGTGCCTGCATGAAGTCTTTTAGGGGCATCTCACCATTCAAATGGCACATAGTGAAGCTTAACCCTTTGCAAGCCAAACACCCATGTGGCCATTGTATTCTACATGTTGTTTCTAGGATGTTTGTGTGAGAAATCATTTAAAGTTTAAAAAAAGGAGATTGTTCTCACAGAGTTATAAAGCACCTACAAAATACCCCGAAAGAAAGCTTTGTATCATGACCCATTTTACACCAAAAAAAGATTACATGAAAGTTCTTTAAATGGCAATGTTGATATGTCAGTTGTCATTTTTCTTATCTTGATTTGTATTACAGGGCATCATTGTAACTCCTCTCTTACTGCTTGTTTTTGTAAGTATCATTAATTTATTTTCATATAATTTGATAGTTCAATAATTCTGATGGATTGAATATTCATTATATGGCTTTAGACACATTAATTAGTTTACAATTCCACATTTTCAAAACATCTGGAATTGTCCTTTAATATTTAACTAAATAACATTTGATGATAATTGAAGTTTTTACTTGTTCATTGTTATGTATGTTTGAACTTGTTTTTGAAATCATAAAGAAATGACTTGTATATTTTTGTTTATGGAAGGTAATAAGTGATTCTGTTTGGTCTATTGGAAGAGATTTCATTCATTGACTGGGAAAATATTGTTTCAAATATTGATGTCTGTTTGAACTTTGAAATGCCATACATAAATAAATAGTTCATACTGGCAGTATGGGCATAATTGCAAGGCAGCAGGTTGTATTCTTAAAAAGGATTTTTTTCTTCCTTATCCTTTGCAAGGTGCTGTTTTATTGTTGAAACAGTAACAACAACAACTAAAAACGACTTCTGTTTAAGACCGATCTTGCGAGGTTATGTTTTTTCATGAGGGTGTTTTCTGTCCCTTCTTTCTCCCATGTCCCGTCACCCTTCAAATCTGCGTACAGTCCCTATGGCCAAACGCGCTGACTTATATATGACATCATCAAAGTTACATGCCGAATTCATGAAAGTTTCACCAGCCCTGGTGTGAAGCCGCTGCTGTTGGCAGACCAGATTACCCTGCCTTCAGTCAGAGAACCGATTTACTCTCATTCTCAACTTCACCTCCTTGTGTAGCTTCTCCTATGTTTGTTCTAGAGGGGGCAAAGGATTGAAAAAGGGCTAAGAAAGCTCCAGATTATTGATGAAGGTTAATAACTTGACTGAATATTTCATCCCTACTACAGAGCGTATGTGAGAAACACAGATTGTTTGATGCGCATTAATTCACAGATTTTCCGTTGACCTAAATCACGAGGCACTTCTACATATTGTGTGGTTTCATAAGCTGAAGCGCATTTGATTTATCAGCAACTGAGACATCATATTTTGCCATGTGTCATGAAATTTTAATTGCCAGTAGTCATGTGACCTCGTTGGGTATAGAACTGCCATGTTTAAAAAAGACCCACTGACCGCTTTCAATTGATTTGTTCTGAGCAAATTCATGAATACCAAAATTAACAGGTATTTGAGATGCAAGTGTGTCCCATGATTATTGATATGTTTGCATTATTAAAGAGCGCGGATTGATGTTAGATTGTTAAAAGACACGTTCAGCACAATGGATTGCAATGATGAAAGATAATGGGTCGTGATATGTATCACTATCTATTGAATATTATTGATATGCAGGTGGCATGATTCAATTAATGTAAATGTTTAATAATGCAATCTTTAATACCACAAATGGAAATCAAACATACATGAAGAAAAGAAATGTAGCATGTAGAGCATGTAGTGAAGCTAGTCAGACAATCAAGTTTTTGTCTTCTAACGATTCTGTGAATTGCCCTACATGTGATGTAGATGATTGTTTTGAAAATGTAAATTTGATCAACTTAATTCCTGAATTTTAGGTGTCTGTAATGAGCTGATTGGTGCAAACCTCCCTATGAATATTAAATGAGTGTTTCCCTCGAGTGTAGTTTCATCCATTAGAAATGGCATTATTCATGTTTTATGACCTACAATTGATTATGAACATGACATAACTCAGCTCCATCGCTTTCTGATTGATAGTGAATTCCTCATCATTTTAATAAGTTCTTTTTTTTTCACAAATTATGAAAATGATATTTTGAGAAGTGATAAAAGGGGATAAATAAAAAATCAATCGGAAGATTGAAGCTCAGATTTAGTGGTGTTACATAATTCAGGAAGTCTTGATTGTTTTAGTTTTATGGTTTGTTTGTTTTTTGTTTTTGTATATTACAATTTGATCTATTGATGAAGTAGGAATTTAACATAGAAATCATAGATAACAATTTAGCTGTCGGAAGTGTCCAATAGTTGAAAAGACATGGGGTTTATTTTGGTGTTCAGTTCATAAGCATTGATCTTACGATAATAAATTTCTTTCCATTATTTTTTTTATCACAGATGGGATCATCGTCATCGGTGCCTTTTAGTTCTATACTAAGTCAGCTTTCAATGACTGTAGTAGTGCCTGTCATAGCTGGTCAGGTAAGTCTTCTTTTAAGTATCTCTACCTTCTACTTAAGAATCAATTGTAAGCTGCAGAAAGGGTAAATAGTAGGAGCAAAAGATAGATACATGAAGATTTCCTTCATTTGAGCTTATTAAGAGACAGTTAGAATTATTAGAATATAACTTTCATGAAATGCTTCCAATTTTGATTTTAAAACTTTGAAACATGAGTTCTCTGTAAAATGTATGAATGAAGTCTTGCTTCCCTTTTACAGGTTTACAATCATGATTCTTTACTCAGTAAATCAATGAAACATTAACTACTTTTAAAACCAATAATGGAGATTCTGTAGAATATGCCCAGGTTTTACTAAAAGAAGGAAAAAAGGTTGCCATTGCTGTATGGCAGCACAGTGTTATAGTGGTCCATTCTCTTGACTCTCAATCAAAAGGTTAAGGGTTCAAATCTCTGCTCGGTGCGTACATCTTTAGACCAGGCATTTTATCTGTACCTAGCTCTCTTCACCCAAGTGTTGGATGAGTACCTGGCAAGATTTATTCTTTAAAATGAAGGGTACTCTAACAATACTGCTTAAGCTAAAGCTAGAGTTCTGATTTCCAAACTACTTTGTAAGAACAGACAGACCATATATAACAATAATTGGGCCTTCTTTACCCAGGGTAGCCACATCAGTATTAAAGCCTGTTTGCACTAGTTTGGCTGGGAGGGATTAGACCTCCCTGCATGGTCACTGACAGGTGGTTATCTCATCAAATCAGCTCGCAATTAACATAAGAAAAAGGGGACCATGGGGGACCAATGGTCACCGATTAGGCATTGTTTGCTATATAGAGGGTGCAAGTAGCTATAAGTAGTGCAGTGGGGATTTAACACTGCTCTTCCTGTGGGCCCTGCAATCATTATTACCCCTAGTATTGCCATTACCCATCAGAAACACATGGGTAGAGTGGGACAAATGTAGGCAAAAACACCACGTCCAAGGATGTAAGCACTGAGCAAGCACCAAACCCAGAGATCTTGAGTGCCAAGAGCCCACCACAGTGAGCTTCCACATATGAAAATGTGAAATGCGCAATCAAAAGAGTAGAACATTCATATTATTTTTGTTTATGTTTCTAACCTCAGATTGTACGACAGTTCATCAAGGAATGGTTAGAGAGGACCAAGCCTCCATTCGGTCAGATGGGCAAAGGAGTTCTACTACTCATCATCTTCTGTACATTCTGTGATACCTTCTCAAACCCTTCACTCCAAATCAACCATTACAGCCTCATTGCAATAGGGGTTGTAGGTGAGTTGTTCTTCTTGGAAACAAAGATACTGGCCCTATATAAATATCCATATTATTATTATTATCATTATAAGGAGCATATATGAAAATATCAGCATGATTTAAAACATTTTAGTTAACAAATCAGTACCGTATGTGAGGGAAAAATAAATTTTTCAGAAATATTTTTTTCCTGTAACAATATAAACAAACTCTTTTAACAGAGGAGACAGTATTCTCCATGTTGTAGCAACCCTTGTAATGAATGTGTTTTGATACGGTTGGATTTATCTTTTACATTCACTTAACATTCACTCCTAGACACCTTGGCCCGAATTCACAAAGGAGGTTTGTCGACAAACCTTGGTTTTCGTGTTTCAACACGTTTTTTCAAACCAGGTTTGTTAAAAACACGTCAAAAAGCGTCATATGACGTACATAAACCTTGGTTTGTCGACAAACCTCCTTTGTGAATTCGGGCCCTTAAGTATCAATATATGACAAATGATGCCATACAAATGACCCTATTCTTTTGACTGAATATGATATATAGAGGATCTGAAAGTTTCATTTGTGTTCTCTGTTTAACAGTTCTAACAATATTTGTCACTTTCTTCCTACATTCTGATTGATGTCTTTCTATCTTCCATTCATTCAGTGTTAATGTTGCAGATGTTTTTACTTCTCCTGACATTCCTTGCTTCACAACTATCCTTCTTTGGCTTCAGCCCGGCCGACACTGTAGCAATCATGTTCTGTTCAACGCATAAATCATTAACCCTCGGTAAGTGATTTGCATCTAGCAACCTATTGCATTTAACATGAGGGTCGTGAGCACTGCAGACTAACCACTGCTCCTTCTTAATCCTATTCCTATCTCCATGTACAAGAGATAGTCCCTAGGTGGCGCTATGTCACCAGGTGTCATGTGCTCGATGTCGAGCGGTTTAAAATTGCAGGAGAGGGAATTCTAGCGCATCACTGAGTCTTGTGTTTAGGGAGATGAACGCTGTTTGGAAGCGTTGGGAACATAATATGACTGAGGCTCAGTTAAGGCCAGGTAATAGCGATCCCTCTATTCATGAATTAGGGATTTTGTAAAGAAATGTTTGGAAGTTGGAAGGCTGTGAAATTCAATGCCCAACAGGTATTTTAATACCTGGTACATGCAGTCGGATGCTAGCTCTGTAAAACGTGTTTTACAATAAATGTTACAATAAATAAGTATGAGGATATCACCTCTCACTGTTACTATAAAAATACTTGTCAATTACATATGGAAAAAACTGTTTTTATAAATTAGCAATTATCTTGTCTCACACACGTCTTATTTATTTTCAAATGTATCATGCTGAGTACTTGAATATCAGCCAAAATGTAAATTTTACTTGGACAGAAATATTCTATTAGTTGCTTTGAATTCACTGTATGTTTGGTGAGAGAGATTGAATATTATTCTGTTCGTGCTGAATTTTGCTGTGGTATCACTGAAATTTAGGATTTAAGAGTTACATATAATAACGACAACAACAACTAAGTTTTATTTAAGGCAATCATTATCACTGTAAATACTACTGAACTTGAGCATGTGTTAGTTGTCTGTAGTTTTTCTATGGTTTATGTTTTCTGGGTATGAGGAGCACTTTTTGCTTCTCAAAACAACAAATACCCTTCATATATTCATAGCCAGACTTTAAACAAATGTTCACTGCCTAATGTTTTCTAATGTTTTAAGTATGTGAAAATTGATTTGTCCTGATTTACATTTCTTGAGAATGTGAAATATTATAGCTTACACCTAAAAGTATTCATAAAGGTCCCTAATTCACCTTTCATTCTTAAGTTATGGAAAACACAAAAAATATTAAATTTACAATTTTACAATTTACAATTTACATTTAATTATATTATTTGTTAACTATACTTTTAGTTTGTTTTTTCCATTGACTATCATATTATATATTTGTATGTTGAATTCCTTTGGAAGTGCAATTAATTTTAATAACTTACAAGTGCTTGAGCATATCTAAAGATGGATAAGTGTGCTTTTTGAATATTGTCATGTATAATTATTATTCTAAGTCAAATTTTCTTTTGTTTCCTGTGTCTCAGGTATACCCATGTTGAAGATAGTATTTGCTGGTTATGATCACCTCTCCCTCATCTCCATCCCTCTCCTAGTCTACCACCCCACCCAGATCCTCTTGGGCGGGGTACTGGTAGAGTATGTTAGGAATTGGATGCTGACAGCTCAAAAAACAAGGTAAGATAAAACCACCAGGTTGAGTTAAATATGAGTTAATATGTGTGCGGTGTGGGCAATAGAGGGCTTTCTAATTCATTGGGGGAAAAATGGTTTTGTGATGAAAAGGGGGTTTTTTGATGAAAAGAGTTTATTGAATTTGGTTATGGGATTGCATAGTAGTGAAGTCATAGATCAGGATTTTCAGTTATCTTTAGGTAAAGTCAGATTCTATAATTCAATGTTTTACAATATAAGTGAAACTATTTAGATCTGGAATGATTTTGTAGTGTAATTACACTACAACATCATTCCAGTTTTGATCTTACAAATCTATGCAAGTCACCTGAAAAATTAAGAAATGAAAGAACTAAAGATTAGAGAGTCTTTAGTCTTTACCCTTAACTTCATGACTAATTGATCATTTTAACACAATAGGCAGGCAGATGCTGGTCACGATGTTTAAGACACCTGTCTTTTTTTTTTTTGAAGTGGGGATTACAAAGAGGCTGAATTTCTCTTCTATCATATCTTTGTCTAGCCGGCTATTTAGATTATTCTTAGCAATCTGACTTCAAATTCTATTACTTTATTTCTAGTTCCTACTAGAAATCCAATATTGGGTTGTGTTTTTGTTTTGGAAAACTGTGCACTGACTATCTATCTTGTCTTTACCATGAACTAACATGCACAAATAATAATATGATTTGCAGGGTCCTTAGGGAGAACAGTATTAATACTGATGAGGCTACCTTTGGTAAACGACATATTATGATATTAATCATGCAGCAAATATTGGAAATGTGTGAACATTCAAAAGTTTCATCCTGTTTATAACTGGATGCACTGAACACCTGCAAACATCTTCTGAATAAAGAGCACAACGAATTCATATAAAATGCTGTAAATTTTATTGGATTTGGTTTGAATATAATATACTGTAGGGAAATTGCTCCTTGTGCTATAGCAACTGTTTGGAAACTCTAGTTACTATATTTGGAGCCTCTGACTTGAGAATTTTTAATTTTTTCGTTAGGGTTATCATATATTATTCCTTTGATATGTCATTCAATGTTCAAATGGGTTAATGAAAATGTCTTTCTGACGAATCTGGAGGAAAATGCAATAAATCCAATGTAAAACCTTAAAAGAATGACACAAACTGACTTTTGTATATCCTGCTATCCAATATTAGCATCAAAGAATGACACATTGCACTATATGGTTTATATCTTTTCTTTGCTACATCTAATTGCAAATAATATTAAAACACAACGAAGCAGAACATATTCTTCTAAATGGTCCATCCTACTCTTTCTGAAGTTTCTTATATTCTTTCTAACAGAAAGATGGCCGAACTGGATCTTCTGGTGCTTCGATTATTAACACCTTGAAAAGTTTTTTTAGAAACCAAGAAAAAACTCCAATCAAATGATGCAAGATACATGTATGTAGCTGAAGAATTGAAATGAAATTTAAAAAGTTAACCTCATCCATTGACATGAATTGATGATCAGAAAACTGCATTTTTTTCTCATACAGACCATCCAAAACTGCAAACCGAAAAGTGATAAATGAAATTGTTTTGTACAAAGAACTTTGAAATGCCCAAAAGCAGGGTGTGAATTGATAGTTTGTGTGATGTGTTTGTCATTCGCTGCACCTCAACCTGTTTTATCTAACTACTCCTTTGTTGCTCTCATGTATTTCTTTTTCAGTAGGAGCCAAACAACTGTTTAACATTCATTCATTCCATTCTGGCTACAAGTGTTTCTGATTCTAACCTCTTTTGGGGTAGGTTTATTTTATATTATTTGATTTATTTGTCTCTTTCTTGCTTCATTTTATTTCCTCTTTTTTCACTTAACATTCACAGTGGGTGATAAATGCTTCAATGTGCTTTCTGTAACGGCACTTTTATCACTTTTTATTCTTGTCAACAACTGCATAAGTTTGCACAAAAACATAGCAAAAGCTGCCCAATTTGTTTCATTTAAAAAAAAAAGTTTATTGAAATGTATATTTGGGTAGACCATAGCATGGTTTGTCTTTTCCTTTTCACTCAATTTATTTACATTTTGTCTCAAAGCCCATATACACATGAAGCAGTAAGACCACCTCTGAAAATTTAAAATAAAAAAGCATTTTGCATGTATATTATTTTCTCAATCTTAGAAGAGCAAGGTACATGTTGTATATTTTGTACCCCCCCCCCCAACACCATTGCCTAAAATTGCCATTCATTTACACTTACATTGAATTTTATATTTCCACATAGCTATTTTTTAAAGGTGTTTAACAGTTTCATGTCTGACTGGGTTTTCATTTATTTATTATTCTTAATGATTTCATTGTATTGATACTGATTGGTACTGTATGGAATGTTTCTCAGGTGGTATTTGTTTCATTTCACATTTTTGCAAACAGGATATTTGCAAAATACATGTATATTGATTTGATTTGATGTATGGTGAATGCTCCAAGATGTTGTCAGACATTAAGCATGTACAATGTATATCATTTATGTTTCTAGTAAATTGGCATACAAATTTGTTAGTTTTGTTAATTTGTATGTTTCATTTGTTTTATCACTGTGATGACTTGCATTGCATTCTTGAAAGTTATTAAGCAAACAAATGATTTTTCCTCCATTGAAATCATACATCATTTTTTGCAACAACAAGCAGTTTCAGGACATTTATTCATTTTTTTGCAGTCAAATTTGAAAGCTTGTCTGAAAATACAGGAATAGAAAAAACTTCTCTGACTTTGTTTTTCCTAGTCTTAAATGATTACTCATCATCACAATTTCACATTCAAATTGAAGAATAAACTATTCAAAACATTATATGGATTCAAAAGCATTCATTGAAGTTTTCACCTTGTAGTATGAGTTGTTTCATCTCATATTTTGGTGTGTCCCATTTAAAAATGATAAATTAGAAGAAGATATATATATATGTAACATTGCAAGATAACCTTATTACCACAGGGAACAGATCTTCCATGTGGTTTATCTAATATTAGTATTGCTGTTGAAGCACAATGTTAGCTTTAAAAATTGTCCAAAATTTATTCTGTACAATAAACACTTGTATCCAATAAAATCCCTATTAGTTTAGGGTATTTGGCATGTTTCTAGTCAAGACTTAAGTTATTCCTTCAGTGTAATAAAACAGTTGTTAGGAAAGTATACAAATTATAAGCCTTTCATTTATCACATTTTCCAGGAATAAAGAAGGAGGAGGTCTCAGTAGCATTACCTCAACAGAAGCTTAAACCACACCCAGGACCAGGATCCAGACTAAATAGAACAGGAACTAAAGATGGAGGAGGTCTAAGTAGTGTTTCATCATCAGATGGTCCAACCACGAATAGACCAGGATCTAGACCAAATAGAACGGGAACTAAAGTTGGAGGAGGTCTAAGTAGTGTTTCATCATCAGATGGTCCAACCACAAATAGACCAGGATCTAGACCAAATAGACCAGGAACTGAAGATGGAGGAAGTCTTAGTATGAAAGCAGGACCAGTAATTTACTGTTATTTCTGACTGTGAAAATTACCATTCAAGATTGCATTTATGTGTGTGCTGAAGGACTATCAGGCTGAAACATGAACATTCATATTCCTTTGACTTTCTATCTCTTGACATACTGAAAAGCAGAAAAAACTTTCACCAACTATAAATGAAAACCATTTCTGTGGCAAGAATCTCTGGCAAATTGCAAAATAATAGTGTTATGTCTACTGCAGTTCAATTATTGTCTCACACAATTCCAAGCGTGTACATTGTTCTGATTTTTTCACCTTCTGCAATAGACCTACCACCATAACTAGATTTCTTGTAGTTCTTGGGACCATTTCAAGATTCCATTTTAAAAGTGTTTTTATTTTTTAGTCATAGTTGAATAGAATTGGCCATTTCTACCCAATCAAATTCTACCTCAACTGTGTAGATGTGTAGATTATGTTGTTCAATTCTGGAGAGAGATTTGTGTATTTAAAAAAAATGTATATCGCCTTGAGTAAGTTATTAGATAAGTGCGCTTTTTAAGTAGTATTATTATTATTGTAGACTTCCTCAGATAATATCGTCTGTTGAGAGACAGAAGGAAACTAAGCTATCTTCTCACCAAGAAGTAAAACCCTTCCTGCTCTCAACAGGTAATATTTACTTTATAGAATTCTTTTGTTGGTGTCATATTTAGTAAGAAGTAGATATGAAGAGAGTTGTATGATAACTGTTTATTCTCTATAATTCATAAGTTATCATTCCTATGGCAGATTTCACATGAATCTTGTTTTATTTTGTATTTCTAAGTGATGTCGGGATATGAATTGCAGGATAAGTTTGCAATGTGCCAACACTGACCACATAGACCAGTCTGTATGAAATGATTACAATGCTCTTCTTCACGAAAATAAAATCACTTTTGTCTGTAATGTTTTTACTTTTAAGTCATTTGAATTGATATTTTCATGAAACTTTCTTTTTGAATGGTATGGGGTATGAAGACAAGGAACTCTATGTGGAAGTGGAAAACTTATGGAAATAAGAAGTATATAGTGTCTTATTTTTCTAAATGTGCAAGATATCTTATGTGCATTAATTCCTGCAATGTATTTTAATATTGTATCTCTTATACACAGTATGGTGATATGGGGCAAGGATGATGGTTTACTTTAGAATCAATGGAAGAGACAATCTGATTATGTTCTTTTATATATATTATGAGCTCATTGACAAAGACAGCACTGCACACTGATTACCTGTATTTTTAAATAATACTCAATTTGGTGGAATATTGCATTAACTGTTGTTATTATTCTTAAAATTTACATACATGAAGAGAACACAACAATTATGGACATTGATGGAGTGTCTGATCAGTTACAATAAAGAATGGTTTATCATCTATTTCTCTTCTAATGCAGTTTCCAGATTGCTTTCAAGTGAGACATTATAAATGACTGCTCTGGGACTTTCAAAGTTTAACTTGTGAACAATCTAGTCTTGTAAAGAATGTTGATATTAGAGAGACATAATGCTGATATGAATGAATGTACATAAACAAGTGGTGTTTGCAAGCAACAGAAATATAGGAATATTCACACACATTAAAGAGATTGAGTAAATTAAACTTTGAGAATATCCTAAGTGCTACACTACCCTCTGTCAACGATTCTGTACATTATCCATCTGCTGATGTCTTCTATTTCTGATAATTCTAACTACCGGTATCGATGCTCTAGATACGATTGGAATTCTTTCATTCTTGCAATATTGCATTCTCACATTCCAGTCTGGCTATGAGTTGTATTGCTGAATGTGAAACCTCTTCTGTTTGATCTTGGTTACTCGTAATTATACCACTCTCTCTCTCTCTCTCTCTCTCTCTCTCTCTCTCTCTCTCTCTCTCTCTCTCTCTCTCTCTCTCTCTCTCTCTCTCTCTCTATTTCTCTCTCTCTCTCTCTCTCTCTCTCTCTCTCTCTTCTCTCTCTCTCTCTCTCTCTCTCTCTCTCTTTCTCTCTCTCTATCTATCTCTCTATATATATATATATATCTATCTCTCTCTCTCTCTCTCTCTCTCTCTCTCTCTCTCTCTCTCTCTCTTTCTCTCTCTCTATCTATCTCTCTATATATATATATATATCTATCTCTCTCTCTCTCTCTCTCTCTCTCTCTCTCTCTCTTTCTCTCTCTCTATCTATCTCTCTATATATATATATATATCTATCTCTCTCTCTCTCTCTCTCTCTCTTTCTCTCTCTCTATCTATCTCTCTATATATATATATATATCTATCTCTCTCTCTCTCTCTCTCTCTCTCTCTCTCTCTTTCTCTCTCTCTATCTATCTCTCTATATATATATATATATCTATCTCTCTCTCTCTCTCTCTCTCTCTCTCTCTCTCTCTCTTGTCTCTTTCTGTCATATCTTTCTTTCTCATTCTCTCTTTTCTTTCTCATTCTCTCTCTTTATTTTTCTCTTCCCATTTCCTCTATTTTCCATTCACCTTGATAAATTCTGAATGATAATGTCAAAGTGGATATATATGTAGATACTAGCATATATGGTTGGCTATTGATGATGATATTGTAATACCCTTTTTACATCTTGACTATTGTACATTTACATATTTTGTCTTTCAGTAGAGATAGAGGAGCAAGGCAAAGTATACATCATAAGAGTATAGAATGAATTTATTCAATAGGATTTTGAATTCAGAATCCTCTAATATAGGCAAAATAATGTAAGATAATGACAACATGTCATGCTGCCAAATGATGATGGGCTGTATCATTTACAACTATATTGTTATTCATTTTATACATTTACTATTGAATTACTTTTTAATATTTTATTATGACTGTGTGTTAATATAATCGTTTTAGTGAGTTACTCATTGTCTGTCATGCTCATAATTCAAACAGCTTTAGGTTATTTGTAACAGCCTTGTTCTTTATGATCTACATATGTTTAGTAAGTAAATGATATTCGTTGCAGTAGGTCTGTGGTTGTTGATTATCAAATATGCTTTTCATTAATTTAGTAGTAATTAAGGTAAAATTACAGGAAAATAGATGGAAAAATAAGTGGATTGTAATATGATTTGTTTTATGATGACCGGTCAATTATTTCTGATTGAAATTGTTATGCATTAGAGAGTCATGTACATGTATTACGTAATCATATCTTCAATTCAAAAGAAATAAGAGTAGGTGATGTGTGCTAATACAAATTTTATCACAAGTTGCCATATTCCTTGAGCTTTGAGATCGTTCTTTGAATGAAATATTTACGTGAATATTCTTAAAAGAAAGAGCACAGTGTGCCTTAACATTTTGTAATGTATATTGTAACGTTCATGATTGGCGGTGATATGTGGAAATAAAAGAGAACAATGGAATTCATATTTAACATGTGAATGAGTTCTTATTAATATGTTCCTTGCACTATTATGTGAAGTGAGCACGTGAGATAGCATCAGAAGTGGTCTAAGTGTATACATATACGGCGTTTCATCCAGAACAGAGATTGATTTTTTTTTTTTACCCGTGAGGAAATTTGTTTAAAGTGAACATTTTGAGAGAGACTGCGCAAGAGAATAAACAATGCTTAGTGATCGTTATTCTAATGAAGATTATTTCAAGATTGAATAAATAAGGATGGTCAAAAATAGTAAATTTGCCAAACAGCTGTTCCGCCCAAAATGATAAATACGGGTAAACTCCATAACTCTTAAGGCCATCCTAAATAAATTCCAATTATTCTGAATCGAAAAATGGCAAAAACTGGAAAACCAGAAGACAGGGTTGAATGAAATCTTGAATAATGCACAGTACGGTAATGCTGATTTAAAGGTAGTGTCACTTTTGCAGCCAACATCAAATTCTGTATAACTTTGCAGGAATTATGAATATATGTCACGTATGTCCTATCTGTGTAATTTAAACTAACGGTCGTTATTTTTCTACAAAAAGACATTTTCAAGCCTTTTTGATTTTAGGGAAGTTCTAAATTAGTATTATCTTTCAGATGTCAATGGAATTTAACCTTTTCATGTTTTTTGCCTGCAAATGGATATTCTACCTTTAAGAAAAACAATTTTGAAGTGAGAAGAATTACTGCAACTTTTTTTTTATTAAAACAAAAAGTACTTACATTTAAATTTACAGTATTGAATACAGAGAATTACATTGAATATCAATTGACAAACTTCATGTGGAAGACATACTTTGAGGGAAGTATATTGTATCGTAATATATTACTATCAGAATACTGCTATATACATGTACATGATGCTATTTCCTTTAAGTACACATTAGCGCAAATAAGTACGTCATTGGTAATTATGTCCAATAATAAAACTGTTGCCATTGATACTGCAATATATATTTCGGAATATATTTTCAGTGAATTAAAGATATTGTATTCTTTTAAATTGGAATATATACTGTTTGATTAGCCATTTCTTGAGTTTGAGGGTGTTGGTGTTACCAAAAAGAAATACATGTATATCACGGAGTTACCTTTGAATACGGGTGATTATTAGTGTGACAAATTTGAATTAATCAAATCGTGCCCCTTCTGCTGAATTGTCTATATGTCTCAATAATAGATGTAGGAAAGTTCATACTTTCCATGATAATAATATCAGAATATATATAATAAACCAAACTATGTGATTGCATTTCAAAATATATTTACATAAAAACAAACTATATACAAACTGATATATTGCCTGCATTAATATTTACATTATATTTACAGCAAAATTAAACACATTTCCTTTAAAATCATTCAGCCTGTATAATGAAGTTGAACAAAGTTATTGTCATTTTGGTCACGTTGTTTTTCCTCCTGTGGATATTGCTCTATTCATGATGAGATAGATCCAGAAAGCTACGACCACCGAGCAGGCGGCATACAGATAATACTTGGGCACTCGATATGTCGTATGCGTCGCTAGTTTTCCCGCCATCTTGTTCATGGAGTGTGCATGCGTATCTGCATTCCCGTTGCATTCGTGAGAGGGTCTGGTGTCGTCTGCTAGACGGGTGGTGGATGGTGGTTTGTCGGCGAGTTCGGCTCTCGCGGATTCCCTGATCGCCTGGTAGCGCTCAGAGGGGATGATCTCCTCTTCAAGAGATACTTCCACGATGCCTTCTCCTCCGACGTCAACCTTGTCATCGTTCTCCTCATCCTCCTCCTCGACGGAATTCGAACGTTCAAAGTTTCTTGCCTTGACAGCCATGTTCCTCCATTTGAATTTGGCGCCCTGTCAGGTGTGGAGAAAGTTTACCACTTAATTCATGCAACTGTTTAAAAGGTTATAATCGCTGAATTTAGAAAAAAGCACATTTTCAATATAAAATCGAGAAATACCACTTCCCCGTGGAAAAAGATTACAAAATAATGTGACGTTGTTCAATGCTTTTTAAGTTTGGTTTGGTAAAGAAACACAAAATGGGTAAAATTACTGATCATTATTAAAATTTTACAGAATTTGAAGAAAATGTACATTATGACTCATAAATGAATACGTTTAAGATTATGATAATTTCGCACCGTCTATTCAGTTCATATACAAAACTTCTAAAAATCTCATGAAACCTTTCTCTATAATTATCATTAATTTGTACTTACGCCAGGGGATGACGAGCGCCTCCTTTTGGTAAAGAGGAGACTTGCGGTAGCCTGAAGGAAACAATAGAGAATGAGGTATATTGATATGAATTCAAGTAGTATGGGAGCCATCAAATTAATCACAATACAGTGTTCTACATTTGCTTTGTATCCTTTCTGAGCGCTTAACGACCCTTAATGAAGCACCATTCTCACAGCAAACTTTAGCATGAAAATTATTAGACAATAAATTATATCCTCATTTCTATCACACAATAGTTTTAAACTGTCGGTCGTTCTACTTTAATGGTCTTAACAATCCTTTTTTTTTTAAATAATTTATTCTAAATTACTATTTGCTTTTAATATAGCATAAAGTGGATTTGAAACATGCAAAATACATACCTTGGTTGCTAGTTCATCCAATCGTTTGTATTGTATTGGAGACGGGTTTAACTTCTTGGCTTGGAAGATGAAAGAGATCGCCTGCAAAAGAGATGAAAATTAATTAAATCAACCTAATCTTCAGTAATAATAATAATAATGATAATAATTAGATTCTTAAACAGCACATAACTTATGAAACACGTCTCTATTCGCATTACATAATACAGTAGTATTTTAAGAGATAATTACAATTTCAAATATTGAGATGTTTATTGATATCACAAATAAGTGGGGGAAAAGCACAGCATACAAAAGAATAAGCAAATAATTAACACATTATCAAACTACATCTACGTATAGGTTCATAAAATAACAAAATAAATAATTATAGAGAAATATATAATGATGACAAGGTTGAAAGCACTACTGAGCAATATTTCGTCTAAACAAATTAACTACCATCAAAATACATAAAAGAAAAGAAAGGAACATTATCTGGCATGTATCGATCCTTCGGAAAATATTTTTTGATTTTCTTGTTTCAAAAGATTTCCTTCTGGAAAGTGTGTGATTACCATTATTATTACTTATATGATTTGATTAGCTTACTTATAAAAGAGCAAGACCTGAAACCAAACTTTGTGGTACTGTCTTAAACAGAAAACTGCTACAGGATTATTTTTTAGTTGAAAGTTTGTACTATAATATAGTATTAATGTACCTGCATGTTGTATCCTAGTGCCACGGCCGACTCTGCTCCGTACACCATGTAATGAATGGCTCTCTGTAGGTTCTTAGCCTTCTTCCAATGGGTGACGAGCTGTGGATATACTGACTGTAAGGACTGTTCGTCATTCTTACACAGTACGCTGTAGGTGAGATGAAAAGAAATAAGTCCACTTAAAGAAAGGTATTAGTCATTTCAAGGCAGATAAGCTGTCATTAAAGAAAACTCCCCAAGGAACCCCAAAACGATAACAACACTTCATTTTATAATTAATGAATTATACTTATATTTATATATTACAAGCAATAATCATTTTACTTACTTGTTACTGTTGCCATCTTTCTGTTTTGACTCTGGTTTCATTCCTGTGGAGACAATCAGAACATTTCATTAGATTTTACTAATGTGGAGCATCGATCCTCTGGTCAAAAACAACTTTGCATTTAAATAGATCTTACATATCATTAGGATGTTGTGATACGGGATGATTTCATTCATTAAAAGAAACATGCTATTCTTTTAAAAGTTCATAATTTCGGATAGAGAGAAAAACTTAAAACTCTGCCATGTGCTACTCTTCCGTACACTAAGTCATCTTATTTCTAGTATAATCGAGTATAGCATTCAAAGTTTCCGTAGATTTTAATGGGAAAGAAGGAGAATATAGAGTCTTTTCAGCTCAGAACTCTTTATTGGTACATGTAGAACCAACAAGGTAACGCAGTTGCCGATAAAAAGGCTATATAGAAGTAAGAATGAAAGTCATACCTAGGAGTTTCCTGATACCAGCTGGGGATACTAAACCACCACCACCACCACCACCTGTAGCACTGGTCTCTCCCTTCCTACCAGATAGATGATGCTCCTCCAGGTACGTAGCGTACCTCTCATGCAGCTTCCGTCTCTGTTTCTCCAGCAGGAGGGCATAAGCAGTCTCCTGGAGCGTCACGGATTGGAACCTCAGCGATCCCGCCTTCATTGACGTCGTCGAGTTGGTTGGCAACGCTCCACCGCTCCCGAAGACGAGGATACCTGCCGACTGGAGTGAGCCGATGGTGGGATTGATCTTCTCCTGAACGACGTTGGGCATGAGATGGGCGATGATGTCTGCTGTGAATGACGTTCCGACCACGGATATGATCTTGACTGTTGTCCGTTGTAGCTCAGGGAGACGGTCGATGAACGCTATCATGCAGCCTGTAAAAAGGGGAAATATTATTTCATTTATGTCTTGAAATAAATTCTTATCTCTGTCTTTGTTGAAAATAGTTAAGAGATGTGTGATTGTCTTCTCGATTTGAAATCGATTGTATTGAGAACCTCGCGAGATTAGATATCACATTATTTATTTTTTTTGGATGGAGTCTGTTTAGGTTGCGGCCTGAATTATCAAAAAGGATCGAGAGCTATTAAATATGCAGAGACAACGATGAAATCATTTTGAATTCATGGCAGTTATGCGATTGATGAGAAATTTTGTTTCATCGATAGTTTGCTAACTTGGCAATTTGATGAAAACAAGAGACTCGTAATTTTATAACACTGTTCTATGTTTTAAAGATGTTGAAAACTATCGGAAACCTGATGAAATTTATCAATATTATTACTCTACCTCTAAGTGATGGTGGTATATCTAACTCCATAAGTCTGACACCCTTAGCTACCCGACAAACTGTTTTCTCTCCTTCGGTATGAAGCTCTAGCTGCTGATGATGTAGCATGTTGTTTACACACTGGTTTACCCAGGAGGGGTTGATACGATTGGACTGATGTGATGCAAGCATGCTGAATAAAAAGATAGAATTCGTTGAAAACTTACAAGTAAAATAAAAATTGGAATCAATGATGAAGGAAAATGGGGATGAAGAATGATCATACGTTTTCTAAGAAATAATTGCTTAATGTATTGATTTAAATAGGTGGTGATTAGATTACTCCTAAGTTTTTAAAAAGTCTACAGTTACTACATGTATGTAACATTATCATCGACAAAAGTGTCTTGTGTTGTCAGAGTAGCTTTTCATATGGAACATATTTTAATAAGATATACCACCTCAATTTAGTTTATTGTTCCTATATAAATCTTTGCAAATGTTTTTTCATAATACCACCGGTCATTGTTATCAAAAAATATTCATGCTTCTTTTATGTATGTTGTTTCCCAGAGTCGATCTTATTTAGGGTTGTGGGGACGAGCATACATTGAATTTTGACACCCTGTTCATCCAATTATTCATCCCTCTCTCTCTGATCTCTCTCTTAAATTCTGACACCCCAATAAGTTATCTCTACTCACATAGAGAGCTCCCTTGGAACGCTAACCATCTCTAGGAGCTGGCAGAGTAATGGCTCCATGCACTGTGGCTCCAGACCCTGGAGCTTGGTATGGAGTGTGCTCCTGGCTTGAAGGATCCTAGAGGCTGCGATAGGAACCTCCGCATCACGTCTGAAGCTTCCCATCGCTGGGATGGAGAAACGGAGCCAAAACAGAGGCAGAAAATATGATTAGATCTCCTGATATTATGCAGTGCCATTCAAAATTGTGTTTCATAATATGGGTTGGGACTGGCCTTTCACCTTACATAAATAAACCTGAGATACGTTTTCTAAATTGCTAAAATTATTACCGTTTCAGGAAAGCGAAGGATTAAAATAAGGATTTTATATAATAAATATAAAATCAATCAGGACAAATAAATGTTCTATCGGCAATACACTTCGTCACCTCTCTCTTTAATATATTCAACAGAGTGGAAAATAAGGGCGTCGCTGTAGGGGTGTGGAATGTGACACACCCAATTAAACATTTGGAAGATATGATGGCAAATTGAAAAATCTGAGGATAAGTTTGTACGGTTGTCGACTAATGACGAAACTCTTTATGAATGGTTTGTCTAATTCTTCTGCTTCTATTGAAAGTAACTTATTTTTGAGGTGGACTTGTCCTTTAACAAAGCTTTATAGGTACCTAGAGCAACCAGACAGTGTTTGGATGGCAGTGCCTCTAGGTATGTCCAGGAATCCTGGTCGATGTAATGAGCGTCATCTATAGCGATGAGTGTTCCTGCACTCTCTCTGTTCCTCGCCTCAGATACGATGTATGCCAGCACGGCGTGACGGGCTTGAGTACGCTCCCGTTGAGATAGATCGGCGATCTCGTCCGTTACGGGGATCTGAAACGTTTAAAAGAATATAAATGGTAGAATAAAAGAGACTTGAGACTTGAGATGTTTAAATAGAATACTTTGTAATAACGCAAGCAAAGGCTAAATTAATGAATTGCAATAGAGTAAACATTCCAAGCCGTTTTCATATTTCGCTCCTAAATGATATGGCACTCACTAATTTGCAATGTGGTGCTCCGAAAATCTTAGCCAGTAATGAAACATTCTTAAGTTTTACAATTATACTCCAATCTATTTTTATCGATGTAATTACACAGATGTAAAAACTAAGATACTGACGTCGACGTATATGACTGCAAACGTTCTGATGACAATTTAACATCTCAGTCTGTATTTATTTTACAGTATAGTATAATTTCATTTATGGTTCAAATGTTCCCTTTGGATGGAGATTTAACCAAAGAACATCACTTTGCAAAGTTCATGATTTCAATGAATTCTAGTTTGAAGAAAAGAAAAGAAAAATGTTGTCATCATACCTGGATTCCAAGTAAGTCATTGAGAAGACATAGATGCCAGAAAAGCTCCGTGTCTTCGAAGCGCTCCTGGAGCCGATGCTCCCTCTCCTGGGGGCTCCCGATATCCTGGAGATCAAGGAGCTGGAGCACGATAGAGCAGATGGTATGATAGGGGGTGCTCGACTGACCCACGCTAGGTCGACAGGTGTATACTCTGAACAAAGATAATTGAACACGGAGTGAATAATAGTACATGGTATGCCAAGTATAGTGGTAACTTGGCGAGAAGATGGTATAAGGTACTCGACTCTCGGTCGCTATACAGGTTGACATATGTCTTCTCTGAATAAATTTGGAAGGGAGTATTATCTTGATCTGACAGTGTAATGTGATTTCGTAGTTCTTATATACCAAGAAACAATCTCTTACGTTTTTACTTTTTTTTTTATCTACGTCTTAGGTCTATCATAATCTAACATTGAAGACAAAATATATATATTCCTATGAATCCGAGCAGTAGTCATTTGTACACTCAATCCTATTTAAGAAGTTCTTTGATGAACATTTATGTTGTCCTATCTACATGAAATAAAACTAGGAATTTTAAAAAAGCAATTCATGATTGTGTGGTACATCTGAATGTTCTTTGGTATATTCCAAATCCTATGTGGGTAATTAAAGAGAAGTAGAGAGGAGCGTAGCTAGCATTGTAAATGCTCCATCAAACCAAATTTGCCTAAAAGTTATCTTAAAATTCTCTAACAAACTCCACCTCTTTCCTAACAACGACAACGACAACGTTACAATATTATACTTACGCCATATTCATTCCCTTGGCGGTATCCATAACTGATCGTAGTAGTCTGGTCTTTCCGACTCCGGGGTCGCCCCCAATGACTATAAACCTAGCTGGCTGCTGGATGGTACCCGATGGATTGGTAGCTAATGATGACATCCTCCATAGTGACTTCCAACACTGCTCAAATTCCTCCACGTATGCTGGTCAAAGAAAGACAATCCACTTTTATAGGAATCAGACTTAGAAATCATTTTCTTTCATCTAAGGATGAGATAACATTTGTTTGTATGTTGCGTATTGCATCACTAACAGAAATTGCTCATATAAACATTTACTGCTGTTCTGTATAATACACCTTTACCTAAAATACAATTGCATGTGAGTGGATACGTCGCCGGACTGTCGATCACAAGGTCAGCGGTTCGAGTCCCGCCGCGGCACTAATGTCCTTTGGCAAGACATTGGTCTACATTTGCCACTCTCCACCCAGGTGTTAAATAAGTACCGGTAGAAGGAATTTCTTTAAATGCTGTGAGCGTCGGAATCGGCAGCGTAGCATAGCCGGGTAATGTTGGAGCGCCTTGAGGACCTTGCAAGGTCGATACGTGCGCTATATAAGAATCTAATATTTGTATTATTATTATTATTAAACATCAGTCAATCAAAATATTGAAATGATGTTATAAGATGGGAAATAAGTAGGCGGGAAGTAGGCTAACTGAAATTGCCTGATGGCTTCACGGAATTATTGGTTTGCGTCTTTTTTTCTTTTTTTAAATAATTGAAACTGTTATAAACGAGTATTTAAAAAAAATGCTTATACCAAAGAGATCCTCCCTGCTTATACTTACACAACAAAGGGTATCCATACTCCGGTATGGAATTGTCAACATTCCTGTAAGAGATCAAATATAATTTGTTAAGATGGTGATATTTGCTAAATGATACCAAAAAACGCGTGGTTTAATACAATATTAATATAATTTTTATTCACATAAAGACCCCCCCCCCCAAAAAAAAAAAAAAAACTATCTCCCTCTCTCTTTGTCTCTTCTTTCTCTCTCTTCCTCCCCCCCTCTTCCAAATTTCTTTCTTTCTCTCTCTTATATTTCATAATTCATGTGCATCACCGTCATGTTAAAACATTTCAATAATCTCAATCTCTCTCTCTCTCTCTCTCTCTCTCTCTCTCTCCCTCCCCCCTACCCCCCCCCCCCTCTCTCTCTCTCTCTCTCTCTATCTATCTCTCTTTGTCTCTCCAATCCAAAAGATATTTGATATATATAGCGCTTTTTCTTTGCGGTTACAAAGCGCTGCACACACCGCTCCACAATGTTTGGGCCACTTAAACACAAAGGTTAGACACTTCTCAGAGATCAGCTAAGTATATATAGGCTGGTAATAAAGTAAATTCTAGCAGAGTAGATGTGACTTGAGTAATTTCCCTCCTCAATTTCCCTTCCCGTTATTATAACGTCCTCTCTCTCTCTCTTACCCTGCTCCTGTATACTCCCACACCATGCCCGGGTCATCAATCCCTTTGAGTTCCTTGTTGGCGACCCTAACGAATCCTCTGGAGTCATTTCTTGATCGTTTCTTTGTAACCTCATCACACGTGACCTTGCCGATGTAATGCATCATCAGACGAGCCGCCATGTTCACTTTAGGACCGATCACTGTATTATAAAGAGTGATAACGATTTAAGTGAAAATAATACGAATATAGGGGGATATTTTACGCAAGACGTCTTGTGCATATTTGATAAACTCTGAAAATTGTCAGTCAATCATAAATTTGAAAGATTTTATGTACACATGGAAAAATAGCGAACAAATTGAAAATGCTGGAATACTATCATGGTTTTGCAATTATGGTGTCTAACTGCCCCATCAATTTGGAATTTATACCTCCTCTTTTTATATACGAATAAGAATTTTTTACATTTAGAAATTTTGGCGGAATTAATATAATGGCCTTGACAAAGGCAAAACTGACTTGAGAATTGTTCGTGGTAAAATAATTTTGGAAAGCATGATTATTATGTTTTAGTTTATTTCGGTCTTATAATCACATACAGGCGCGTACGCAGGATTGTTTTCAAGGGGGGGGGGGGGGGTAAGAGGACACTTTTTTTGGGGGGGGGAGTTCCAAAAAAATCGCAACGAATCAGCCAGCCGCTAAATAAGCGGGGGGGGGGGGGGGGGGGAAGGACACTTTTTTTTTTGGTCTCGAAATTTGACATTTTGCTCTGTGGGGGGGGGGCAAGGTCAACTTTTTTAGGTCAGCCATTGGTATTATTATTTTTTATTTTTTTATTTTTTTATAAAAAAAATTTTAAAAAAAATTACCAAAGGGGGGGGGGGTGTTTCCTCAAAATTACACATATAAAAAATACCAAAGGGAGGGGTTTAACTCCCCAGCCCCCCCCCCCTGCGTACGCGCCTGATCATATAGATTCTATTCTTACGTCTAATTTCTATAAAATGAATGTCCTTCAAAACAACAACGTTGATCACACAATCATATTCTCTAACCTTGAGTTATAACTGTTTAAGATTAGTTAAGCGATTCGAACCCGTGTCCCACTTCGAACCCGTGTCCCACTCACCTGTGTACTCGTGTCTCTCGTTGTGCCCCACGACTCCACAGAACACCTTCCCAGTAGTTACTCCGATAGAGATTTGTCTGCCAAAATACAGGGAAATGTTCGTCATAAATAAATGTCATTCAAATATGATTATAGCGGTTGAGTGTTTTTTTAATCACTAAATTACAATAAGGCAAATCAAATCGGGAAAATGAATCAAACAACAATTTAACATGCATGATATCATAAGCTTGAATGCATTGTACTGGCTAAAATTAGTGTCAATACCCATGCACAGTTTCATTTTGATTAGGAGTTTTAAATTGCTTTTTTTTTTTTTTTAATTCCCAATCATGTCGTTAAATAGTTTAGATTCGTTTGTCTTTCTTTCTTTTATCAAAATATATTTCTTGCATGACTGTTATCGCTGTTTTACTTTAACATTGGTGGATAGAAATAGATTTTGAAGATTGTCGACCCGAGGTTTTATTTAACTTATACCATAGCTGTTTCATAACTCTTAAATGCAGCTCAGGGTCGGATCCAGGGACGGCCATGTGGTCTGCTCTGCATTTGTTTGCTCGAAAGACATTTTAGATCTAAAATAAAATCAACCCCAGATAATCTTTTCCTCCCTTCACTTTTTTTCTTCTTCTTATCACACTTTTTTCTTTCATTTTTTGCCCCCCTTCTACTTAAAAAATCCTGGATACGCCCCTGTATTTGTATAGAGAGGAGGAGGGGGGAGGTTCGTGGGAATGAGAAAGAGAAGGTGATGAGGATAAGAAGAAAGAATAGGAAATGATACTGGTGGTCAACTTACTTGACTTCAATCATTGCACTGACAACATCTTTTATTTGCCCTGCACACTGTACCGCATGGCATGCTTCGTGTTCGTGTTTAAATCCAGGAAGACCAAATAATACCAAGAAACTCGTACCCTGGAAAGATGAAAAGGAAATAGTCTGAGTAACATCCATCACTTGACGAAAAAGGGCATCCTTATTGAGAGAGCTTAATAGAAACGACACTGCGCAGACGACAGTCTATATTAAGATTGACTGTACTTTTATTTCCGCGCTTTTATACGTTTATCTATTTCATCCAACTGACGGTCTACGAATTTTTGTTAAATCCCCGCTTTTAATAGAAAGACGGCGAAGACATTTTCAAGCAATATAGATTCCAAGTTCTTGATGCGGCAGGTAAGACGTTGTCGATTGACGTCATACCTTACCACATCTTGACAATTTTTCATCTCGCTTTCACCCAATTTAGCTTCTGAATATAGTCCCTTCTGAAATGGCGGTTCTTAATTTAGGTCGAGTTTGGAGCAAACGCTTGGTCGCGTGTAGCCGTGCTCTTGATGAAAGCAAGCACGTTTTCTCCGATAAATCACATTTCAATAAATCGAATTTCTAATTTTGGTCGTCTTTTAAGAATAGAATGTCTTTATATTGGGTGTGTAGAGGCGGGTGAAAGCGATAGCTAAGGCAAGGCCAGACTGTAATGTAGGGTGACTTTTTATTTGCCAAGAGTCAGCTAGAGAGTGTGTTTACATGCAGGCGAGGAGCTAGGTTGCCTGATATGAACATTCCCAAGGGGAGAGTCAAGACGCAGGATGGAAATGATAAGATGTGGGGACTGAATTCGAAGATTATAATTTTGTTAAAGGAAGTATGAAAACGATTTACAAGTTTAAAATCTTGTTTTATTTTCCCTGTCTACTTTCATTTTCGCAATTCAGTAAATCACAATTATTGTCTGAATTTAAGCACTTCAGTGCAGGTGCATTTATGACCAGGCAGTATAGATTTATTGATTTTTACAATCTATTTTACTTTGTAGATCTACCAATACAAAATGCTATGATCTATATTAGTATGAAAGCGTAACCATAATATACAAGCATCAACACAAACTAAAACGCAAACAATTGTATTTTTACTAACCTTGTCGAATTCAAATATCTTGTTTATCATTCCTGAAAAGAAGAAAAAAATAATAACTCAACGTCATGATCATATGATTTCAGAAAGGGCAACTCTAGCTCATTACAAGTTTAAGATGGTTTAAGACGTGCAGGGAGGTATGGAGGAGAGGGAGAAAGAGAGAGAGAGAGAGAGAGAGAGAGAGAGAGAGAGAAAGAGAGAGGGAGAGAGAGAGAGAGAGAGAGAGAAAAGGACAGGGAGGGAGAGAAGGATACAAAGTTGTTCTTAACTGGATTCTACTGATACATTTTGTGGTATTGATATCAATAGACAAAAACGGTATTGATTTAATAAGGAGAGGGAGAGAGAGAGAAATAAAATTATTGTGAGAGGACGGGAAATTGGAAACAAGATGAAAATTAGTCATTGGGGATGGAAAGAAAGAAGAAGAAAAACAAAGGTGGAGAGAACTGGTGAGAGATGGGGAGAAAGAGACAGAGAGAGAGAGACAGACAGATACACAGGCAGAGCGGAGAGAGAGAGAAGGGAATACAGATTGATTACCTTGGAACTGTGAGACTGATGTATGTATCTTATCATAGACGGCTTGTAGACATGTGGAGTGATCATGCGCAGAATCCATGTGAAGACTGATGAACACAACTGTCACTTCTCGCATCTCACATAGGTAGTCAAGAGACTGGTTCTCATCAAACTGAAATTGAATAGCATAATGTTGCATTACTCTAATAATAATAATATAATAAAAATGTTACTTATAAAGCGCTTACCACCGAAGTCTTTAAGCGCTAACGAAAAACGATTGAAACAATCTTGTACCGATTATTATCTTGGGAGGCTCGTTTCCATGATCTAAATGAATAACATGTATCATCTAATTATGAAACCTTTAAAAAAAAATCATTTCAGTCTTCATGATAAGTTACTATCTACTAAAGATAGCTTAAAGACTAGACATATTAGTAGTCTATTGCATTCGAATTGATTTCGATACTCTAATTATTTTAACCAATTTGTCTATATAGGCCTAGATCTACTACAAAATAATAATAATAATAATACATAACATTTATTAGGCGCTTAATACTGATGTTTCTAAGCGCACAGTGTTCTGATTAAATACCACTCGATCACCCAACATTTAGCTGATGCCTATAGAAATAGATCATAATCATAGATATTTCGCAGCAGCAATACCGCATATATTTTGTTGTCAGATAAACATTTACAATAATAAGTACCGGTATCCACAATTCTATACCGTGTTTTTATGTTCTCTCTATTATGAATGAAATTGATAAATTAAAGAATTGTTACATTTTATGAACTCCTGAAATGACTGCGAACCCCCCTCTCCCCCCCCCCCTCCCCCTCCCCCCCCCCTCTCTCTCTCTCTCTCTCTTGATGCCACCCTCTTTCTCCTCTTCTAATATTTTGTTCATAATACAATAGACCTGAAAATAGCGTGAATGATAAGTGACATTAATCGTACCTTGCTTAGAACAGGAGGTGCAATGAAGGGTCGCATCTTGGATCGACGGACCGATTTAAAATTAATCTTCCGAATCCGAGGCTCACGCTCCAGTTTCTATGTCAGATGAAAACAATGTCATAATCAATATCGTCTTAAAAACAGCAGAGTTTAAAGTGTCCGATAAGATTGAAGAAGAAAACATGTTTGCTAGTCATGAGAACAAGGCGTTTCACTTACTTAGAAATTGAGATAAGTTATAGTCACCATAATTTATAATCGCCATAATTTACAAAATCCTTTTTAGAGATGATGACAGTGAAGGATCGGACTGACAAATGACCACTCTACGATTGCCAAGGTATAACTCGTTTATCTTTCTTCCTCTTTTCTATTTTGTTATCCAATAGTGAGAACTACTCATGAATTTCACAGCATATTTTTTTCTTTTATAAAAAAATGTGCCTACTCCTTAAAGTAAGTCTGGAATGTCTGAGAAAGACAAATTCTTGCTTGACATGTAATATATTTTAGAATATTCTCAACTTCTCTTACAAAATAGGATCGTCAAACCATGCAATCTAATTTTACATAACTGGGATTAACAAACCTTATCATCTTAATTTATTTTTAAACACCTTATTAATAGGAACATCATTAATGATTTGTATCGAATAAACTAACGTGAACAAATAAATATGTGATCAGGTAGGAGTACATTCTTTTAATGAGATTTTGATGGGAGCATTTACTAGAAGCATCTAATCTATCGGCAATCCAAAGAACTCTTCGGTGGATTTCATTTCATTAAGGGCGGAACTATTTGTATCAATAAAACGCGTTTCAAATAATTAGAATAAAGTGAAAATAAATTTAACTGAAGCCTGTTTATTTAGAGGAAGGAAACTCTTGAGTGTTAGAAAGAAGAAGAAGGTAATTACCTGTCCCTGTTTCAGGGGATCGTTAAGCGTCTGAAACTCTTTCCGAACTACATTGAAAGAAAAGAAAACGAACTCTTATTTATACAATTTGAGTAAAAGTACAATACGATATAATATCTTGGGCATGTAAAAATGATACAAATATGGTGCCAAAATGGCTTAAATACATGAACTATTTTATTGATGACACATTGTCCATTGAAATTTATACGAGGCAGGGTTTTCATTCTCCTCTGTTTTTGCAGTAAACGACATTTTTCAGGTACCTAACCACTTCAAATGAAATTTAATTAAAACTAATTAGGGTTTTAAGCTCATGATTGATTTTGCTGTAAGAATGTGAAGATATAAGTTTGGTACAATGATGAAAATCAATATATACAACAATTATTACAAAGATATTACCTGGATCCAATTCCTTTTCAGCCCATTCCTTTTCTACAGATAGTAGCTGGAAAATAAAAGCAGAACAACGAGCTGTTTCCAACGACTTTCACAACTACATGCAATTACCCTCGAAGTAAACTTAGATTGCAATTTAATATAAAGGCTCTCAACGTTCAACTCTTTCAACATTCGAAACATAATTCACCATCATCATTTAGTAAAGTTATCGACAGTTTATAGGGTGTATCGATTTAGGATAGAAATTCCTCATTGTAACTATGAAAACTAAGACGTTCAATTTCATTTTTTTTAATTAAATGATAATGAAATAAATATTTGTTAAACCAACATGAAAAAAAGTCTATGTCATGTAGGTCATTATATCAACTAACTGCAGTGTTTTGCTTGTATTGGTCATAATCCGCAGGAATACATCGATTTTTTTTCTTCTCCAATTATTGTTTCAAATTCTTTATCATAGCTAATTTTTATTGTATTATGTTTTGATTAAAAGAAATATTATCATTTTCTATAACATTATGTTCCATGGGTTTTGTTAAATGGTCAAATAATACTTGAAATGGAATGAAATAAACTCTATGCAGCAGAATTTCATGAATATATTAATTCGAAATTCATATTTCAAAAGACTCCAAATAAAAATGAAATCAGCATACTTTTCTTTCTCCCTCAGGTAATTCCTCCACCTTCATGGCTGTCCTATCAGGGCATGCTTCCCAGGCTCGCTGGCTCAGGACGATACTACCTCTACTACATCTCTTCTCTGTTTTATTAGCTTCACTCACTGCCGGTCCGCTGGTGCTGTAGTGCCGGCAGGAGTCACATCCTACATAGGTGATGTAACTCTGACCTATCGCCAGAGCTACAGGAAAGCGGGAGGGAAAGTAAGATTGGATAGAGATGAGATTCGAGAGACACTTTTTTTCTTCTCGTGAGGGGTAAATTCAATCTGGATACGCGAACATTAAGTGACGGGCTTAGAAAAGCTTCTCGTTACTTGTTTAAAAGGCAAAATAAGACGACTTGATAAAAAAAGTTACATTTATACTTTAAAAGGATGACAAGTTTATTTAAGACAGTTTATTGGGATATCGCAATCTCTATATGTCCGTTGTGTATTTTTAAAATCAAACATTGCACGTTTATTATATATTACAGAGATTGTAATATTGATGTGATTAATTTGATTTGATTCGTCATTTAAAGCATGGAAAATGCAATACAATTATTGATTAAATGAATCTCTTCACATGATACAAGCATGTCAATGATCAATACCATTTACAAAGTGGTATAACAAGACTACTTTAAATAATTAGATTAACGTTCAGTCAAGTTACTCTTATACCCGATCCCACAACCTTTTATATATTTAGGTAGCTATAATTATACGCTCCAGATCAAGAATTTAAATATAATAAAATAACTGAACATTCATTCTGACATCGCACCTATTTTGAGTGCCAATGAGATGCCCGATTCCGTTGACCAATCATGACACTTTCTCTGTATCTGTCTTGCACACCGGATTGCACGAGCCATGGTCGCCGTCTGCCCGTACAAATCAGCATCCCATAGCACCAGTAATGCATCGCCTGCATGAAGAGAAATAGAGGGAGAGGGAGCGAGAGGGAGAGAGAAAGGGGGAGAGGGGAGAGGGGGAGAGAGAATTAGAGAAGGAGGAGGAAACATACGACAATTCAGAGATAGGGAGAGAGAGAGAGAGAGAGAGAGAGAGAGAGAGAGAGGGGGAGAGGGAGAGAGAGAATTAGAGAAGGATGAGGAAACAGACGACAATTCAGAGATAGGGAAAGAGAGAGAGAGAGGGGGGGGGGGGAGGGAGAGAGAGAATTAGAGAAGGAGGAGGAAACAGACGACAATTCAGAGATAGGGAGAGAGAGAGAGAGAGAGAGAGAGATTAGAAAGAAGACGCTGAGTCGTTGACATACAAAGTGAGAAATAGGCATACCGGCAGACAAACATGATTAATGTTATCATAATTATGATTACAATCACAACAAAGGAATTAATGTCCTACCTATTATGTGGACATGGTTTGTTTTCTGTAAAAATATCATATCCTTTTAAAATCATTTTCGTCCAAACTGATCAAAAATTGCAGTAGTATTTGTTTAGGCAATTACAATCATTAGGTATATTATTGAAAGGAACCACTTACCAATTTACAAATCGGTGTAATAAATACAAAATAAATTAGGTTTGTACTTATTGTACATACTGTATGCAGCAAACAGGTTCTTGGGAGATTAAAAAGTCAAAGTTTACAGATAAAATGACATTTCAAGTATTCTAAGATTCTTGCATCACCGTTTGTTGTTTTCTTTCCCTTTTCGATGCAGATGTAATCCATCCATGTTCGTTCATCGCACTGCAATTATCACTAATTCGATATTTTCTCTGACTTTAAGTTGGCCTTTCTATTGACAACATAGATGAATAAACGCCAACAGACACCAGGCATGGAGTGATGTATGTATCAATTAGGATCATCAGAATGTTTCCGATATCTCATTTATCAGACCTAATGAGACTCTAATTGGCTATTTGTTTCAATTTATAAATGCCGGACATTGCAATATGACAGTCTTCCTACAATACGAAAGCAATTCTTTTTGTGCAAATTGTGCTAGCAAGGACGTTGCTATATTTAGAGAACAAGTAGGATCCAAATGTCTTTTTGGCATTCTCTTGTTAGAATTTGAGACAATAACATTTTTTTTTAAGACAAAAAAATACACAGAGACGTAGGCCGGTTTTTTAGATCCGGAAAATGTTCGCACTTTGACTTATAATGCATATCATGCAGGGGGATTCCCCTTCTAAAGTTCTACTTTTCCTTGGTATCATGTGCCACAATGATAACATCCATGTTCATCCTTCCTCAATGTTTTTTAACTTAAATAATGTAAACCCCAGTGGGAGAATTTAGACCTTTTTGGCCATTCGCCAGTGAGGGTTGATTGATTTTGAAAGCAATCCAAGGAAGAATTCACCAGGATTTTCCTCTTTGTTTTAATCCTTATTATTAGTCTTGTGTTGTCTCCTAATACTCACAAGATTGTTTATGTACTCTGAAACATTTATATTGTTACGACTAATATATATGATATTATGTGTGGGCTCACCCGCCACAAGGTTCGTACTTAGAGGTTTTGCCGTGGATTGCGTAACATGCATGTACATGATATTTTGATATTACGTCTTTTTGGACAAAAATGTATGTCGAAATGGGATGAAAGGAAAGAAAATCAACATTATCATAATATTAACTGATGGCTTATAACGAGCAAAGCGTTTGTTATGATAACGATAATTCCATTTTCATTAAGCAGCATTACACATGCAATTCAATATAAGTTAGGCTGATGATCTGTTTTATTATTTGTTGCTAAATTAATGTTCTCTCTTTTATTTGTACATGTTTCGTACCATCTGATTTGATTTGGCTTGCTATATTTTATCAGGCTGGCCCCATCAGTAAATTAAATACAATACTTCCTGAGGCCCTATGTTATAAGCAACATGCATTCAGAAATTACAAGTACATAACATAACATTACATAATATAAACATTACATAATATAAATAATGTGAACGCATAATTAACATGCAATGTATCTCATTACGATATAGGTTGAGATGTTATTATTTTCTTGTTTTCAAGCACGAAATATTATCATAATGATATAGTAAAAGGAGATATACGGTTTATAAGAAAATAATAATGTGAAGTTATGTTTATCTCGATGTGTATAATAACGATAAAAGTAAAGCATGACTAAGGTTATCCTAAACAATTTTAACATAAACGCCTACGCGAGAAGAGACATGAAATGTCAAACATTAACGAAAATATTGACGTGTTTACCACTTGTCTCCATTGATGGAAGATTATGTCCTATTTGCAAGCATGTTATGGGAACTGGTGAACTAGTGAAATGCTCATTATATTGTTCTCATGTCAAACATCCTGATTGGCTGAGGTACCACTGTTATTTAAACAGCTAACATCGATTTTTCCCTGCGGTAAAATGCTTGCTTTAAAAGATAAACAGGACACGGAGCTAGTTTCATTTCTAATTGATACATGTATATAGGATTACACGTCTCTTATCATTTCGAACAACACTCTAGTGATGATCGTACTTGAATGTCAAATCTATACTGACATGAAAAAAGAAAGAAAAAAAAATTAAGATTTAACATGCTCTTTAAAAATTATATAGTCTAGTTTCATCCCACCCCCGTAATAATAATGCAATAAGAGTACGTCTTGGATTAAGGCCGGGTACCGGATACGGTGTCCACGGTTGAAATTGTGAATTCGTACAATGTAAGAAATTGACTACGGAGCGATTGTCGCCGAAGACTATCATGTGAGTTGTACCACACATATTCTGGCGACGAATGCTCTGCGGTCAATTCATAACTTTGACAATGGATCAAAAACTTAGTCTATACCGTATACCCTTGTCCTAACCCTGAACCTAAACCTACCCTAACAACTCATGTGCAACCCTAATCCAATATCTTTGACGAATAAAGCCTTCGTCGAAGTATATGTCAGAGTACCATCGTATGACCTCTTTCGTTACTTCAGACTTACCAGCAAACTCGACGACATCGCCACCGTTCTTAAGGATAGCATTCTCAATGAGACCCAGGTAGTCGTTGAGGGTTTTGGTGAGGACGTCGACTCCGAGATTGAGCTTAGTATGCCGCTCACACAGGGAGGTGAAACCTTGGAATATGATCAAGGAAAATGAATGGAAGCAATCAATTAGAAAAATATAAAGGATCAGGATAAAATTAAAAATACAGGGCCTCAGAATACACGCTTAAAAAAGTTATTTAAAGAAGTTGAGGAAAGACTGGAACCGATTTCGATAGGGAAGTCGAATAAGAGGACCACTAAATGAGCTGTCAAATGTCATTTAAAAAAGAGGTGGCTGATGAGAAGAAAACAAGTATAAAGGAAATTAGGAAACAAGTAGCACACAAGTGGAGGAAAGAAAAAGAAAGAAGAAGAAGAAGAAAACAGAACGGGTCAATATTCATGATAGAAAGAAGGAAAAGTAACAACGATTAATAATAACAAGAATTTCATGTGTCATGTAATCTAAGTTATATCTGTGTATACACTTTTTTCAAGTTTGAAAGCGAAACTATTATCTTTTATAACTTCATTTTTATTTCTAAAACCAAATTGCTTTTAGTCATGATTATTTTCATTTTTTATTTTGTTTAAATCATCTCTTAGATGAAACTTATATATTCGTAATATTCATCAAAATGGGCCAGAAAAAATTGAACCGATGGACAAGACAAGTCAAAATAAGGACATCTCTTCATGGTAATGATTGCTCGTAATTGATATGCAGACAGTTCTAAAGTATACATCCGGGTACCTAGTACATACTTTGTCAGCGCGCTGGTGTATTCTTCCCCTTTCTGAATATCCCTTATCCGTCTTCCCTTTCGCCTCCCCCTTTTACATTTCCGCCAAACGCATTTTATTATAAGCAACAGCCCGGCGACAGAAGCGTCACAAAATGTCCAGAAATAGAAAAGTTTCTCTTTGAGCTCGTCTATGCCCTTTTATTCTCTGTCATAATAAGTTTCCACTCTCAGAGGAATGCAATATCCCCCATGTCATCTGTAGAACAACTGCTTGGATGTTATTGCCCACAATCTTTTACCCAGGGGCGTGGGGAGGGTTGTCGGAAAAATTTGGCTGATTTTTCTACAAGAAATAAAATGAAATTTCGATAAGGGTTTCTTTGCTTGCTTTTAATCAATAACAAAAAAGAGTATCAGAGAAGGGTTATTGACGAATATAAGTTTTGACCCAATCTCTAATTTTAAAGAAGTCCTAATAATGTGTTTACAAACAAGAGTTATTAGGGACTTTTTGATTTGCGTGGACTGATACGTGTGACGTCCATTAAAGGCAGTGCATTAAAAGGACGTCGATCGTAGCAATCCACGTTGTCGCTGTGCAAATCTTAAAGTCCCTAATCAAGTTATCTTCAAAGCAAAGCAAAAGTACGTTCACACAACCTTAAAACGACGCTCTTATAAGACTCATGAATCATTACAAGAACTGTTTGATATTAGAAACTCACCCCATATATCGAGAAACATGACAACACTTTCAACATGTTGAACGGCCGGGTAATCCTGGATGCTGTTACTCGCTTGTAGGACGAGATCAGGGAGATGGGCTGCTAACTCCAAGATGTCATCTGCTCCGGATCATAAGGTTCGAGAAGAGAGATGAGGACAGGAGAATAGATATCAGAGATAGAATGGTAGACAGACAGGGAGATGGACAGTGAAGAAAGACGCGGACAAGAGAAAGAGAGAGAGAGAGAGGAAGAGAGAGAGAGAGAGAGAGAGAGAGAGGGGGAGAGAAAGATAAATAGAATTAAAGAAAAAAAAGAGAGAGAGAGATTATTAGACAATAGTAACACCACGAGTTACACCCATGCGGTCTCACTGCGCTCTACAAAATAATATAAAAATACCAACAAAACCTCCGAAATAATCAAAATATTGGTATCAAAATAAGAAAGAGAGCATACAAATAATTTGGGGAAAAATAGAGAGCATGGTTTTCCCGGCGATAGAGCCGAGTCTCCAAGTTATTTGCTTAACCTTGAAACGGAAGTTAAGAAGCGAAACAATGAAATACACCGCTTTTCCTTATCATAATGGGTGCATAAGAATATAACATGATTGTTTTTCATCTCGGTAACGCTAGTTTTTTCGAGTGATAACGTCTTCGATATAGTTCTATCATAAATGCGCATATTGAAAATGAATATTTTTCACTCTATTTAGAAGCTAACAGGTAAATGTAATACAAAATTGTTGAAAATAGTATTGCAGAATAATTATTATCGCATAATGTGATTAAAATACAGCACATGTTCTTCATATTTGCCTATAACTCAAGTACAAACAGTGCTTTATCTAATTTTAGGAATTAATTTCACGCAAATTTGGACAATGACCCAGGAATGGCGCCTTTTATATCACTCATTCATATTGTATCCTACCACGTCGCTTCAGACATTCAGATAAAAGATGCATCATGTAATTCAACATAGATTTGATGTTTGTTGATTAGAGATATCAATGACATGTTAAAATTACTTTTGTTTCCTGCCATTAGTGTATGATTACTTATCATTGGTTTGTAAGTGGTGATGATTGTGCGGACTACCAACTCACCACGGTATCCGGCTCTCATAAATGCATTTATTGTGTCTTCTAATATTAACAAACAGGTATAATGTCCGTTGCACTGAATGCACCACTCAATTGTATGAACTGTCAAGTCATTTCCACAATATTTCACAATATTTTGATTTCCTGGATAATAGGAAGACGTGTTTCTGTCACTATAATGTGAATCACTATATCTGAATCTATGTTCAATCATGGTATGTTCAACTTCATGTTGAACTTGAAACTGTAATGCTGGTTAATACGTTTGTATTACTGAAATGCCGAGATGAACTTGCATAGATCAAATCACGGTTAACGAATATTGACTGACCCCTTTATTAATAATTATGACCACTGGTTATGCCTTCTGTGATTAGTCTACACACGCAGACTTTATTCATCGTTTGACAAAATTCCATAAACCATTGTGCGGAGCCTAACTTTGTCATTCTCTTGCTGTGTCAAATATTTATATTATTATAGTAGCATACGAACATGTAGAAAATGTACATGGCCTATGTACGGGATGCAGTCTATAGTCTCACAGTTCAGACCTAGTGCAAAGCATTAAATCTGACTATGGTCTCTGCATGTAGACTACAGAATGATCGTGATGTGAATGATAGAATGATAGATGAAGTCGACCAGCTATTCAACAGAGGAATCTCACACTCTGACATCGATGATACTTAGTGGAGCAAGTGGCTTAAAGGGAATAGTCGTCCCTTACATCAAAAAGGGAAACCTAAAGAAACATGCTTAATAATATTTCTCTGGTTCAAACTTGTATTTTTAACAAAGATTTATCGGGGGGGGGGTACAAGTAATGATTATGATTGTACGTAAAAACAATAGCAATCAGCAGCAAAAGGACAAATCATGTCAATTATCATATAAACGCTATTTATAGATTGTATTGAAATAAATTTGGAATTATGATTTTGTGGTTTAAAAGCATATGTTTAGTCCACAAATCGGTTAATTATATTTTACAGCTGCAGTGGTATCAGTTTCATATTGTCAGTTACAAATAGCACTGTATCGATGTTTTGTTAAAAAACGTATGACTTTTGTGGTATAATAAAAAAATTATTTGGAGTGGGAATTTATCATTATGGTTGCTGGGTATGAATGAACGTGGTAGATTGAACGAGGTGGATTTTTCTGTAATAGAAAATAATATGAACAACAATATTGTCATTTTACAACATTCATGCTTCTACCACTAGTCACAAAAATAATAAATCGTTGAAGTGGAGTCTATTTTTCAAAGACTACATTACTTCATATTGATTAGTTATATGAAATTTACACGAATATCTCTGTCTTACTGTAATCCAAGATGGCGTCTGGAAGGCCCCAATTCTCAATCACACCATCGCATTCCAGAAGTGATGCTCTCTATACCATTGTTTAGAAGATTCGATTACAATATTAATATGAACCTAGTTCCAAGGCGACGGTTTGCCTGAGCTCAGGGGCTTGGGTTGCATTAAATCGAACTGTCTGAGACCGTCCCGAGGAGTTACTTCCGAATCTTATTTGAATTTAAGATTGAATGATACAATCCCTTCGGTGAGACATACGTTATTTCGAACAATTTTAGAACAGTGTTGCATATTTTTTTAATATAGAGATGTATATTGCGTACCGCCATATCATAAGCCATGTAACAAGTACGCTTTGGACTTTAAAATTTCATCTTAATATATTCACTAAATTAGTAAGTTTCAAGTTTATTTGTTTTTCACTTAACAAAATAACATTGACATAGATATACAATACAATACACAACATGGATATATTCTGTTCTAATTTTTAATGTGATCATAGAGGGTCTGCGTAAAGAAGAAAAATGTATTATTATTATTATTATTATTTATTCGGCAAAAACTAAGAAAATCATTGAATGTACAAAACAAGAGTACATTTGGAAAAGAGTCACATGGATGCCGGGAAAAGAAAAAGTTTAACTAAATAACTGTAATCAAATGTATTTAAATAGACAATGTATAAAAAAGGATCAGAGGAGGGAGGGAGGGAGGGAGAGAGAGAGAGAGAGAGAGAGAGAGAGAGAGAGTGATCAAAGTTAGGTACATTTTCTACTGCTCTTATAGCACAGCAAATGTTTCAATCTCCTTAATGATGTAATTCTATAATGCTCTTTACTTCTTCCTTTCCCAAAATCGGATCAAAGCAAGAAAAGAAAAGGAACAAATAGTTTGGAGAATTGTGGGGGGGGGGGTGGCTGGCATACCAAACGAAAGATGATCTTCAATTCAATGAACCGACGCAAAAATCCCTCGCAGCTTAAATTCAATTATTCCCATCACTCGTTGTATAACCATTTTTTTTTATTCATTATGAGGCAGTGTCCCGATTTATGTCCTTGACTCCTTTCCAGTATCACATTTTTTTCCTTTTCCTTTGAGGGATATATTATAATATATGACACATATTATAAGAGTGAAGGTTAGTATGTGGCTCTCATCTAAATTGCGTTGCATATCACGATAACAAAATGTGATGTATAGTGGATGGAATAATTTATGATTTCAAGTCATTTTCCATTTCCATCTTCCTCGTCAACTCGATAGAAGGCCATGTGATAATGATGGTGATTCTGCTATAATACATTTAGAATAAATTAATTAGTTGAACATTTAGCGTATCCTATAATTCAAACTGACGTAATGTCTGTGCAACACAAGGCGTCATGTGAATTGCGTTATTGTCTGCGCTAATCAGGACTTATGAAATCAATTATCCCATACGTCAGTAATTCAAAGCAATGTTGCGCTCTCCATTTTTTTTTGCATTTACTGTGTGTACAATGTTCATGCCGGTGTGTCAAAGGTCACGGCAGTCGCTGACGCAGTACTACGTCAATAAATTACACCTCGTGTGCAACAGGCATTTCACAAGTAATATTGACGCAATACGTACGTCATAACTGAAACGCTGAAGGAACCTGTACTTTTGGCACCCTAGATCCTCAGAGCACTCGACATTACAGACTAATCAATAATAAACACAACAGGTAAGGTATCATTAGCGGATTAGTCTTTAACCAGCAGACCAATTAATAATACACACCTTGGGATTCAGATGTTGATAGTCTTTAGCATGCAGACCAATAATTGATAATGGACCTCAGTGGTATCCTTCGTAGATCAGACCTAGTCGTGTCAAACAACATTACTGCAGCAAACATTTTTAACCACTCACATTGATTCTATCTTCCGTTGATACTATAATTGTATCTGAATGTTATAGTATATTAATAATAATAATAATATGCCTTGTTTACCCAGGGTAGCCCCATCAGTATTCATACTGTTTTCCCTGAGGGCCCTACAAGTATGAATAATAATATAGCTGACGCTAATAGTAATATTGATAACTGAAAATAGGTTTGATTTTCATGACAACAAGGTCATAAGAGAGAACTTCATACAAACGTAAATAAACTTAACTCATGATGAAACCTATTTTTATAGACACATTTCAAAACACATGTTTTGTGTTTTACTTAATTTTAGGATACCTACAGGCCGGAAAATTATGTCAATTTCAAACTGATATCTGAGTTAATATCTGACAGATTAAAATTAAAGGGAAATAGCAGCATCTGCTGTTTGATTAAACAGACAACAAGGTACACCAATACCCGTCCCCCGTCCCCCTCCCCCATTATACAGCACACGGTTCTCACTGTTGAGAGAGAGCTTTGATATCCATGCGACGAATGCTTATTGTTACCAAACTCTGGACTTTGGGAAGGGGGCAACGGCCCATCCATCCTCCCCCTAACATGTTCCCATCATAGTCATACCCCATTTTTATACCCCAAAACTTATTAACCTCACAACTTAAAACCAAAGCAGATTATGCTGATGCAACTTTGAACCTTGATCTAGTACCTTGAATAAGAATAGCCTTTGGACGAGTATCCCTAGTTCGCTGCCCCAATTAAGACTGTACTTGTTGTGATACCTTACTTTGAGGCTTCTCGGATAGCTAGCTATGATAGATAGGGATAGGTGTTAGTACTCTATTTAGAACACCTTGGCATGCTCGTGTATCAATAACCTTTTGTTTATGAAGGGGCTATCAGTTGAGATCGGAGCAAGGATTTGAGGTTTGTCTGAACCTCAATTAGCCCCTACATCTTGCCTGACACTTCTTGTTTCCTCTAATACATGTTCAATGAAAGACAGGCACTGAGCGATCCAGGGGCGTAGCGTGTATCCTAATATATAACAGGGGGCACGCCCTTTAGCACTGTGGTGCCCCTCTCATATTAATCAGAAAGTATTGTTCTGTGAAATCCTCCTTTACGTGAGATTGGAAAATATTTTATGTCATCTTTTAAAAAAGGTGAGCGGCTGATCCTGTTCAACATACATTGTAGTGGGACAATTTTTTCTTCTTCAAACGAGTCGGGAAGACTTTGTCGGAAGTACATTGGCACTGCAAAGTTTACACACCACTTTCACTGTATTGACACGCAACCAGTATTTGTGAAAAAAACATTCATGATGTTTATAAACCTTGTTAGTTTTACCCTCTTGTTCTTTTCTCTCTTGTTTTAAAAAAAAATGTTTTCGATTATGGGAAATATAACGCGTAGGAGCAATGTAGCGTGATAAAAGCTTCTATTTAAATTTAAATGCGATGGCTTCACACTTCTATACAGAAAATTTACCCCCTCTTTTCCCCTTTCCGGACTTTTCAATTTGTCAAACTATATGCAGTGCGAAGTGAAAATGTTTCATGTATAACTTTGAAATCCTGGGCCGCAAATTAGCAATGGTTATGTAGTACTATAGAATTATCTAAACTTTGTTTACTAAAAGTAAGTTTCTGACCGTTTTCATGTTTTATTTTTCATATAATTATTATTCACGATATTTAATGAAATGTAAAATGACTTTGTTTATACATAAATACTTTGTAAAGTGACCGTCTCAGACCCAGCTGCTGGTCTGAATTTTTAATATAGGCCTATATACCAGGTGAATAAATAAATTAAAAAATAAAATGTCAGTCAAATAAAGATAACTATGTGAATCATTAAATTGTGTTCGTGTGAAACAAATTTGCTTAGTCTGGAATCAACGCGCGTATATAGCACGAATAGCTTGTGCTTTTTTTTTATATGATAATCTCAAAAGAATATATACACAATAAATAAAAAACATTGTTATTGATTTCTAGAGTGAGTCTTTTGTATCCCCTACAAGACATGATCATAATTGAAAACGAGATTATGGGCTAACGATGATGATAATAATTCAATAGTACAAGTTATACTGATTAGTATATTGATATATTAGATATTAATGATGATGGTTTACCGCTAGCGGTATATTTTTAATTCTCTTGTATTGTATTTCGGGTTTTTGTTGTTGTAAATTTTGATTGGTATTTTGCTTTTAAATATATATACGGAGATAAAAACAAACAAACAACACTACAAATAAATAAATTCAGAACACCAAATAGTGATATACGTCAGCACAAAAGTATGAATAATGTCGATTTATATACTATGATCATATTGCTACTGCCTTTATAATTATGCGCAGTCATGATCTTCCTCGCACAAGGTCTAGCAGTCGAAACCAGTGGTAGAGTGTACTAGAAAGGCATGAAGGACATCATGCGCCATTTAAATGCTCTTGCAACACTATACAACATCGTGCTCAGAATGAAGACATGATAAATAAAAAGGGGCGGCTCCAGGGTTTTGTAAAGAAGGAGGTCCAATTCCCAAAGGATTAAAATTGAAATTCAAATGTATTGATTCGAATGTTAAGCATGACCGATCATTTTTAATTTTCTATTAAAAAAGGATAACAAAATATACGAATTATGAGGTCTAAATTACAGTTCACAAAGATAGTGATGTCAAGAATTACAATTAACAGAAATAGCAATGATTGGTTACATAAATGATAATGAATTTCCCTTCCTGTTATACTTTTAACAACCCTAAGTTTCAGCGAGGAAAGAAAAAACAGGGGGTGATCAGGTAAATGCATATCGAGGTCCAATAATTAGGCACACCAAAAAAAAAAAAAAAGGGGGGGGGGGTCCACACCCACCTTCCCACAGGAACTGCCTACGATACAAAAGTCCCAATATTCATACAGACGCTTTAAATCTTCAAGTGACTTGAATTTTTAGACAATTTGAACTGTATATTGCCCCTTTTTTCTCTGAGCTCCCCCTTCTCTCTCTCTCTCTCTCTCTCTCTCTCTCTCTTCTATAAGATTGAGACGAATCAATATCTATTTTGTAAAGCAGGTGAAACATATTGTCATTTTATTCGACCGATAAACAGATTCGCCGTCCGAATTTTAAGATCTACGAGACATATCAGACACAATTTGAAATGCTTATTGTGAGTGAATTCTAGCTCTTTCAGTAGAGCAATTTCCGGGGAATCGATGCCAATAGAATAATATATTTGACAAGGCTGTCAAATTTTCAAAACGCCATGAGACCAATAAATATTGAGCATCAGTACTGTTGTTTCGATTACTAAATCTTTAGAGTGATTTTACGCCGGTTATGAGGCATTTTAATTCCTATTTTGTTATGAACCCATTTGACTCTACCATGATTGGTATCACACAGCCGTTTTTGTTTGTTTATACCCACACTAATCTTGTACATGACAATCGTATAAGATATCACCCGTATAAAATAACCCACACTAATCTTGTACATGACAATCGTATAAGATATCACCCGTATAAAATAGCCTGGTAAATATTCGGAATTAACCGCAATGGTCGAGGCATGCTCGAAACCTCACAAAATAACTTTGGTCATGAGAATTTCAGGCATTCTCAACATCGACGTAAGAGTCGATAATTATTTGTTATCAATCCTCTTAATCATTGTAAGAAATCTTTGGTATGCATCTCAAAAGCAGTATGGTTGGTATTAGATGACTCAGGATTCATCGAGACAAGCTCAAGTCAAGTGCTCGCATAATATTGGTCGGGAGTACCTCGGGCAGTCTCGTCTCCCCTATGTGCTTAACATAAGAGTCTACATGAATTATAGCTCTATTGTCTGGCATATTTTGCCTCGAATAATTTCGACTTTGTCATGTATGATCTGCGGAACCGTTACTATCTTGGTTTTGGTCTTACAACCACACACTCAGCATGTGATCGAGATCGATGTATAGTTCTTCCGTCGATCATGTTGATTTCAACGAAATTGAACTAATTGGTAATTGATCAAACGTCGTACGTACATCTCTATGAATATGAAGGTTTAAGAGGCCATGAATATAATTTACCTCTGACGAATATTTCAATGCATGTTTGTTGTCTCCCCTCTCTCTCTCTCTCTTTCTCCCCTCTCTCTCTTTCTCACCCCTGTGTTTTGTGACAGGAGCTACTTGACAATATCATAATAATGTAATTAGGTCGACTTGTCGTGCATGACATAGTTTTGTTTACAATCAACCATTCGTTTGGCTCTCAGTGTGCATGGTCACAATATTCCTTATGTTTTGAAGAAGAACAAAACACAAGTGAACAACAGACCTATCTACATAAGATTTGTGTTGGGTAGAAGATATGTTGCATGCATCAGGCTTTATGTTTATTTTCGAGGGCTCGTGGGTAATATACGAGCCTCATGCAAACATGAACGGTTGTCTGCCAAATCCTTGTCAGTTAGTGGAATCACGCTGACAACAAACATTTTTTTAGTCGCATTCATGATTATATACTCATGGTAATAATTAAAACACTTTGAAAGTGCATATAGATACATCATATCCTGAAGCGATATTATTACTAATTTTATATTTTTGTCTCTGTCATCTTAATTGAGAAATTTTAACTAGAAACAGTGGGGACGTGAATCACTATATAAAGGCAAAGAGTACAAAGCATACCATTGACTCATTCGTGACCTATTTTATTTTTATCGATGAGCCGGAAAATGATGATCAAAATTTGACACTTCAATGCCAAAAAGGTAAGTTCACAATTACGATGGTTGGCATACTAGTAACCGACCAATGCGTATTTTTAGCAGGAATTTCCTTTAACACATTATAAATTCAGATTGCGAATTTTAGACAAACAATGGTATCTTATTTACAGTGCAAGGCGGACTTGCTATCTTCGTCTATAAAGTCCGTGTTAACAATGTTCGTTTAACGTATTAATGAACGCGATGAGTTAAAACGATACAGCTGGGCATATAGCTTCGTAATAGAACAATGTTAAAAACACTTCAATGTTATTACGTTTTGACAGATAGCTGTCATTACAAGACCATCATTTTGTAGCTTCCTTATATAACAAAAACTGTTTGAAATCCGAGAACATTATAACGTTTAACAGATACTGCTAAATAGTGGTATTATAGTAATCAATTGATATAATTCGGTTTAAACTCACCCTCTCTCTGTTCTATTTCAAGTTCCATTCTCGCAAGGCAGTTTGAATTTAGAAATCACATTATTGATTTGAATCGAGGTAAATATTCCACCAAGCCTTACGCTGCTCGAGCTGAAATCAAACAGACGTCCCTCGAGTCTGTGCAGATAAATATAGGGCTTGCTACGGAAGTCACGGTGCAATGACGAGTCCTGTGTAAATTATCCACTCATAACCAACGCAGCATAGTTCACTGAGAATCCTAGATAATGATTAACATGGTTTTTCCGAGGCAATGAAATAACTGGTTAGAAAAACCCAAATGTTCTCTGAACAGACCAACATCAGCTGCTCAATGGTGTTTAATAGTTCATGCCTATAAAAAAAACACGCCGTAATAACCACTGTTGCGAAAGTTGCATTTTTGGCAGATATTGCGTGATCAAAATATTTCGGTTTTCACTTCCTCTCTGATGACTAAACAGGAAAACAATTTAAAAATAGCATCTATCTTCCATGATTTCAAATTTGCCCAGGAGAACAATGACAACCAAAGCGAGATGTTTCAATCAATTAATGTTGAACATTCAGACACGGGATGAACATGCGACTCAGTCGAACAGGCAGACGAAATACGACTGATTTCAGAATCGGCGGAAACCAGGGAAGAAATGTTAAGCTTTCAAGCGGCCGCGGAGAGCGATGCGGGATAAAATCTGAGACAGGAGGTTGATATCGATCACCATTAAATTGGCAATCATCACTTTGTTATCAAGAAGAAAGATCGCCTGAAGAAGATCTTTAGTGGTGCTTGATGAGAGCCGGGATCAGAGTGAGGTTTTCTGTCCGTATGAAACGTGTTACCATCACATTCAATAGCACATCCCCAAAGCTACAGGAGACAGACGATTGGGAAACTGTTTATTTGTGACGGGGCATTAACGCGCGCGAAATAGATGTATCACTTTACAATTATCCCTTGCAGACGACATACAGGCTGGAGTCAAGTTCACACTGATGCGTCAAAACCTGCGTATTAAGGGGGTGGGCAAAGGGCAAAGAATAGCCCCCTTAATTAATCCCCCTCATCATAAAGCTAGCTCCACAGCTCCACCAAACATTACTATTCACGTTTGTCTTCTCAGCTTTGTGTTCTTTAAAATGACCCGGAGCTTGAGGCTTATTAATTCGTTAGATTCTTATTCAAAAGGTCCAAAGAAGGCTACGGTTGCAATGTACCATCGATTCTTGATTATATTTTTAAAGCGCTTCCAAAGCATTATTCAGCAGTGTCATGTGGAATAGAATGCAATAATATTGCAGGAAATCTATGTCGGAATTGAGTATGAATCATCTCGGAAGCAATTCACATTTTCTTTTCCTGAAAAAGTGATAAAAAGAAGCAGGGGAATTTCTTTACTTTTAATTTGTTAAATATCTTTTCTTAAATTATCCTGTAGAACCATACCATACTGTTTGATGCTCTAAGACTTACATGTTTATGTTTTTTAAATGTTTTTCATGTTTATGTTCTATGTTTTATGTATTGTTTGACCAATCTCTAAATTTTATGATAATAATGTAAAAACAAACAAAATAATACATAAACTAGGTGTACACACCCTAACAAGCCACAAACCTGGCTTTCATTGTGTTCACCATTTTTCAATTATCCACTTGTGTTTTCTTAATGTAGTCTGTTAATACTGAATTATGTATTATACTACGGTCTATACCTTGCCCCCTTCTTCACCATGTTTCTCATTAAATGCTATACTTTTTTGTTTGTTTTTATCTTCTTTATCGTTTGATTGAAATGTCATATTTTTATTATGTTTTTATTGCCCGTTTACTGTTGTTTTTTTACACATTGTTTAAATTGATGTTGGAATTTGGAAATAAATGATTTGAATTGAATTTCGTGCTCCATGATTCCAAGAAATGATATAAAGAATTTTGAAACCATCCTACCACACCCTTTTACGTGCACCTTATCTTATCCATTATGTTCTATTCAGAGTTTACGGTCCTCAAATTTTTCCTTTTCTAATACTGATCTAAACTTTATTAAATCTCCCAAATAGTCCAAAATATCATCAAAATGTAATCATGTATATGGAAGGTCCTGAGCTTTTCAGCTTCGCCAACACTTCAGTGAAAATCTACGACTATACTTTAATCTATGGAAGTTTTCAGGAGCAAGCTGCAAAAACCATTATTCTCATACTATTTTAGAATGTTGAATTGTGATAGGTATTTGAGATATAAACGATTACAAATGTGGTCATCTGTTGATCAAAAAAGATTATGATGGAAGTAGGCCTATTTTTTGCGGATCCGGAGGTAGGAGCGACAGTGGCCACCTATCATTAAAAAGGGGAGCGAAGGGGGGGGGGGGGGGGGCGAGGAGAAAGAAAATTATATTATCGAATAATATTATCAGGAATTCTGTCAATAGCGGCAGGTGGACTGATGAGGTACCCGATATCATATTACTGGAGGAAAAAAAAAAGTTTGGAAATCGTCCCCTTCTCCCCACCGTGCAATTTAGTAAGTCTGAAGTTAAGGGCAGGCGGAGTCATAAAATATTCAACCCCCTCCCCCTTTCTGGCAATCATGGATCTCTTCTTGAGAAAAGAAAAAAATATATTTTGTAGCTAATGACTCATTTCGCGCTCCTGTATTAAGCACGCATGCAGGTTATTAAGAATTATTCTTTCCCTCATTAGGTGGATTTTTAAATATCAATGTTCCGTCTTTAAAATTAAAAGACAAGGAAAAGCATATTGACGGAGAGGTTGAGTTGGACGAATCGTTTCTTCCGCTACCATTCTATTTGTTAGCCAAGTCTTTTCATGTATCCTGACTGACAATGAGATGCCCAGTCCTTCCTCGTTCGTCTTATATAAAAACGAAACGTGGGTGTTGAGAGTGAGGTGATTATCTTTGCATGAATGTAAAGATTAAAGAGTGTTGCGTTTCGTTGTTTGTTGGAGGGTCGATTTCTTTATATACTTCCTTGTTTCGGTTTGTGAATGAATAGAATAGACACCACTCTCAGGGGTGTGACTGGAGGGGATGTGGGGGTCTGACACGGACTACCCATTAAGGAGAATTGTCGGCAATGAGAACAAAATTGATTGAAAATAATTGGCCGTCTGTGGCAAAATTTGAAAACCTGAGGATTATTTTTGAATTCTCTTAACCGGAGGACACCCCTTTTTCCTTTCTTGTCGGATATTTTCCGCTAACTTGTTGACAAAAATTTCCGACACCCCCCCCCCCCCCCATTTTGATAGTCGGGTGGCGCCCCTGTCTAGGATGGGCTCAGTAATTTGAACTGTTTGGAGGAGAGGAGGGGCGGCCCCCGCAGACAAGGACACACTGCGATCAATTTTGTCTGCAAAACCAAATTCTAAAGTGCATCTCCATCGTTAGTTATACACTTTGTATTGATCTGCCTACATTAGTGTTTGCACATACTCTTTATCAATCTAGTAATCTTGTCATCATTGTTTAAACACATTATAACTATGATAGCGCTGACTGTAAATATAAAATGACGTGTGCGCATATATAATTCATGAAAAGTGGTTATAATTTGGTTATGATGGGCTGGGGGATACAAAGTCCAAGGAGTATAATTAATGTGTATCAGCTATGATGTATGCGTCCATAAATGCTCAAAGATACATCTACTCATTCTACGCGTATAAGATCTTTATTTTCCTCTTTCTTCTCATCTCTCCGCTTTACAATCACGTTCCTTTTCCCTCACTACATACTTCTTCCTATACACGTTCTTTAGTCATTTTATGCCCAGCGACGCACGATACACTATACACTATTTATATCATGTTTATTTTAATGATACATGTAGTTTTCCTTTTAGCATTGTCACTTCTTGTTCCTCTGAACATCTCTCTCTCTCTCTCTCTCTCTCTCTCTGTCTCTCTCTGTCTCTCTCTCTCGCTCTCTCTCTCTCTCTCTCTGTCTCTCTCTCTCCCCCTCTCTCTCTTTATCATTTAGCTTGAGTCTAGACATGTACATGTAAGTGGGCATGAATACTAATTGGATTATACTTCTCATGAACTATTAAATTTGAAATACAGCGGTGAGGGGGGGGGGGGGGTACGGAAGGCATAATGCCCCTCGGCGGATTTTCAAAATTGTTGTTACTTTAGGCTTATGAAGTTCCAGTATTTCAATATCATTTTGTTTCCCCGTGGTAGCAACGCTCTCGGAATAATTCATGTATACGTGCGAACTCGAATGCTCCATAATAACGTAATTCTGTGCTACCCCCCCCCCCCCACACACACACACACACACCAGAGAGGTGATGACACTTCTAATTTAAAAAAAGGAAATCCTGGTTACATTGTATGCCGCTATTGAACTGTGATCGCCATCTTTGACACTAACACGTATGCTGAGTAATAATTCCGTTTCCAGGAGCTAAATTTAGACCAGGTCAAAGATCTACGATGATCAATAATTCCATCCGGAATCATTTCTAATTTCAGTTCATATACCCCACGGACCTTCCTCTTTCTACGAATCGAGAGACGCTAGAGGGAGTGTTCGTGCATAGCCATCAGCAAATCAGACAAGGCGTCTCTCAGGGTATACCGTGCGGGAATGTCTTCTATAAAGAAGAGATTAATTCTTCTACTTCTTCTACTCCTTCTACTCCTTCTACTTCTTCTTATTCTCCATCTTCATGTTCTTCTGTTTCTATTTTTCCTTCTTCTTCTTCTTCTTCTTCCTTTTCTTCTTCTTCTTTCTCTTATTCTTAATCTTCTTCTTCTTTTTTTGTATTCAACGGTCTATACATCCTAATAAATCAATTATTTACAACATCGCTAAGATGAGGGAAAAGATTGTGTCTTTTATAATTCCGATTTTCTTTGAACTGACTGGTTTTAGAATCCTGACTACCGTTTGAAATATTTTACAGAAATAAAGAAAAGTTTCATAATATAGGGGCTAAGAGCATGGTAATGATCACCTCACCCCAGCTGAAAGAAAAAAAATACAAAGTATTCAAGCAATAACCTTTAAAAAACTTGGAATCAAAATAGACGACATTTTATAATCATAATTATTTATGTTTAGTACTATAGTTCGGATTATTTGGTGAGTCTGTGAATACGTATCTATACAGACAGTCAATGTTTCAATGCTTGGTCTATATACATGCATTAGCACAAGAAGTGATAGATCAAATCATGACAGCAACGATGTTATTTGATCCTACTGTCCGTATTTTGAATTGTCTGCCGTCGGCTTATCTTTCAGAAGCATATCGATGCTACCAACAATGGTGCGGGAATGTTATAGAGATACAAGGATGGAAAGGATTGGGGGACGGGGGTTCTGCGGTGTATTCTCCTCATTTTCCATTGGAACATTCCTCTGAATACTATCTCAGACTTTATCCTCCCTATTTTGCATCCCTATCCCCTCTATAACATGGGTTCTACACATTGGCTGCACTATCCCAACGAACACTGATTTATTTCGTGTATATACAATGTAGTAGACGACCCGCGAAGATGATACAGTGTGATAGCACGAAGGGTGACTTTAGCATTGCAATGCTTCTGATCAATCATTACACTGTAATACGTATAGCACATAGATGAACACATTATCAATCATCTTCGTAGGGGATGTTAGAGGCACCGTCAATATACAAACGTTGTTAGATATTTTCTACAATATAGCCCGGGGAGATTAACGCTTCAGAAAAAAGCAAAACCCCAAGAATAATAATTAAGAATTAAGACCTCTTTATTATCACCATCTTATTTTCTTTGATAGTTAGAGATGTGTGGTGCAGCTCCTAATTTAGTGGATTTTTTCTTTCTTTTGATTTGTTGGTTATATCTACATGGTAGTCTCGCCTCATGAAAAAATAGTTAGCTCATCTACCATGTCTAGTAAATTGAATCAGGATATCCACGTAGCATGCTTGAGACCAAAGTTGGTCTCGTGAGCCCCAGGATATTTGTCAGAGGGTTCGCGAGAC